AAAAGAGGTTTAAAGACTCTCTCAAGGCAAATCTTAAAAAATGTAGTATAAACACTGACAACTGGGAAACACTGGCCCACGAGCGCTCCAGTTGGAGAACAGCCTTTACCAAAGGTGTCATGGGCTTTGAAGACGCCCGAACGCAGGACGAAAGGGAGAAACATGCTAAGAGGAAGGCACACTTGGCAAATCCTCACTGTGATCAACTCCTGCCAGGAAACCTATGTCCCCACTGTGGAAGGATGTGTGGATCCAGAATTGGCCTCCACAGTCACTCATGGACTCACTGTTAAAACCGTGTTTATGGAAGACAATCTTACTCGGCTACGAATGATCGCCGAAGAAGAAGGTATTTCAGTGGTCAGAGAGAGTTGCAAGGGGGAAAAAGAAAGAAGGAAAGAAATTAAGCAGATTGATTTTCAGTGAAGAGCCTTTCATAAACACAAATCAAGACGCCCACACTGGGATAAAGGTGGTCCCCCGTTAGGTTCAGATCTGGGCCTCCACACGTACCTCTGGGGCAAGAATCAGCAGGTAGGCTTGTTCCAAGTCTTGCCTTGTTGTTACCTGTTCCTCCTGGAATTGCTTTCTTCTTGGGAAACTTCCCCTAACTGGGCATCCTGCCTAGGACTAGAAGGTAAAGGACCCCTGGATGGTTAAGTCCAGTCAAAGGTGACTATGGGGTTGTGCCGCTCATCTTGCTTTCAGGCTGAGGGAGCAGGCGTTTGTCCAGTTTTCTGGGTCATGTGGCCAGCTTGGCTAATCCGCATCTGGTTCAATGGGATACTGTGATACGGAAACTAGAGCGCACGGAAACGCTGTTTACCTTCCCGCCACAGTGGTACCTATTTATCTACTTGCGTTGGCATGCTTTTGAACTGCTAGGTTTGCAGGAGCTGGAACAGGGAGCTCACCCCGCTGCTGGGATTCAAACTGCCAACCTTCTGATCGGCAAGCCCAAGAGGCTCAGTGGCTTAGACCACAGCGCCACCACATCCCATTAGGGATGGTTAGGACTACAACACCTATAGGCCCCAGTCAGCACAGGCAGTCTAAAACATCAAATGGTCAGCAGGTTGGGCAAGGCTGCTGCTTGAGTGCCATGATAGAAAAGGCAGCATGAGTTCTGTGTCTGTTCTTGTCAAATTTCTTGAAAACAAAACACTGAACATAAATATAGGATATTCTTCCTCCCTGCTAAGCTGCTTGTTATTTCTATGCTGGCTCCTAACTGCAAGCTCCAGTGCTGACTTCTTATCTTCTTATCTGATTTGACATCTTTCCGCAGGGCCTACAAGACCGAGTTGTTCCGCCTGGCCTTTGGGTTGGACTCAGTCTACCCCTCCCCTCTCATTTATTTTTTGATGGAACCTCTCATATGGGATTTTGTATATAAATTTGATGTTTTCTCCCCTTACGGCTTTAATCTATAGGCTAGCACTAAAACGAGGCTGCATTTTAAACTGTATTCTAACTTATATTTTAATCAACTGTTAGGGTTTTTGTTTTTGTTTTTACTGTATTTATATTTGGTGTTAGCCGCCCTGAGCCTGGTTTTGCCCAGGGTATAAATTATTTTATTATTATTATTTAATAAACATTCACAAATTTATTAGTAGAACATAGGATAGATAAGGTATAACATGTATAACATGCAGAGAATACTATGTGCAAACAAATCAGAGAGGGGAGCTGAGGGAAGTCTCTGGAGGGTGGGAGAGGGAGGGATGGTTATATTAATTGATAATTTGTTTAAATAGTTCAATAATATATACCGTATTTTTCGCTCTATAAGACGCACCAGACCACAAGACGCACCTAGTTTTTGGAGGAGGAAAACAAGAAAAAAAAATATTCTGAATCTCAGAAGCCAGAACAACAAGAGGGATCACTACGCAGTGAAAGCAGCAATCCCTCTTCCTGTTCTGGCTTCTGGGATAGCTGCACAGCCTGCATTCACTCCATAAGACGCACACACATTTCCCCTTAATTTTTAGGAGGGAAAAAGTGAGTCTTATAGAGCAATATATATATATATCTATTTAAAAAAAAATTATCATTATTATAAAAGGTAAAGGGACCCCTGACCTTTAGGTCCAGTCGTGGCTGACTCTGGGGTTGCGGCGCTCACCTCGCTTTATTGGCCAAGGGAGCCGGCGTTTGTCCACAGACATCTTCCGGGTCATGTGGCCAGCATGACTAAGCCGCTTCTGGCGAACCAGAGCAGCGCACGGAAACGCCGTTTACCTTCCCGCCGGAGCGGTACCTATTTATCTACTTGCACTATGACGTGCTTTCAAACTGCTAGGTTGGCAGGAGCAGGGACTGAGCAACGGGAGCTCACCCTGTTGTGGGGATTTGAACCGCCGACCTTCTGATCAGCAAGTCCTAGGCTCTGTGGTTTAACCCACAGCGCCACCAGTTCAATATGAACTGGTAACAGCCAGCAAAAGATTATGCTTGAAGTCCATGACCCCCTCCCCCCCCGGATTATGAAATCTAGCCCAACAGGTTCATTATTATAGTTTGACCTTATTGTTTGGTTCCACAGCTGGTAATGGCTTTGGGGGGGGGGGATGTAGGAAGAGCTACAATTCACCCACTGGAAGCTCCAAGGAAGGAAACCAAAGACTGTAACATGCAGGCTAAGGCAGACTCACCACGTTCCAATTGCCAAGCTGAGGGTGGCGAGATTCAGATGCCTCTGCCCATTGCTTGCCAGGGAACTGTCAAACGTAAACGGGTGCATTACTCTTTAAAGTAAAAACCAGGATGTCATTGGAACATAAAGTTCTCCCTCTGCCCCAGATACCAGCAGTTGTACACTACTTAGATGGCGGCATTATTTTGGAGGCATACTTCTGGGACCTGGTTTGTTTAAATGTTTAAAATGCCAAACGGCAGACAGATGACTTGACTTTGCCTGTAACAGCAACCACAATAATTTATTTGGCATCCATCTGACTGGGCTGCCCCAGCCACTCTGGGTAGCTCCCGACAGAATATTAAAATCACACTAAAACATCAACCATTAAAAACTTCCCTGCACAGGGCTGCCTCCAGGTGTCTTCGGAAAGTCAGATTGTTGTTTTATCTGTTTGACATTTGATGGGAGGGCATTCCACAGGGCGCAACCCCTGTGTTGAAAGAAAAGACTGACAGTACCAAAAGCACCCAGGGTTTAGATGGTCTCCCACTTTTTTGCCTTGGAAAGCAGCTTTTAAAGGGATGGCATAAATTGGATAAATGTGTGTCTGGGAGCAGGAGGGAGAATATCCCTGCCTGGATAGGGACCAAGGCACAGGGAGAGGCAGATTTAACTTTTTCATCTCTGTGCTATTTTCCCACTGAAAATCATCCTGTCATCATAATTTGCCTCCAAGGTGCTATTTGCTGGATAGCATCTTTGGATGCTAATAGTAGCATGATTTTTTTTTTGGGGGGGGGGAGAGGAATACAGCTCAGGAAGGAAAGGATTAACGCCCCCTTCTCCTCACACCAGTTCCATTCTACACAGAACACCCCCTGAACTGCTTTTTGCGAGTGAACAATTGTTAGGCGTGCAGCTTGACCCTTTACTGCACCTTTTAGACAGAAAGTCTGAGATTTCTTTCTTTCTTTAGCACTAGGGTGGAGGGCATCAGATTCCAAAACATGTATTATTCTACCCACCATTTTGAACTTAGCAAATTATTTTTATAAAATCTATCTGCACTTACTGCTGGTTTTGTAAGCTACCTTGGGGTTTTTTATTCTAAAAGGTAGGCTATAAAAACATCTTACAGAAATTACCGGGGGGGGGGGCGGCACATCTTTAAAGTTGTTAAATGTTACAAATACTATGCATAAATGTATCCTTTTGACTTAACAGCTCAGGGAAGTTACTTAAGTTTTAAAAATAATATAAAATCAATTCCTTTTTCTTCATTCCACCGCCAATTTGCTTCATTGGCCAAGGACTTGGAAACCACTCGGTCCCGCCATGGAGGCCATGTACTCACAGGAAGGTACTCATAGGTGCCAATCGCTGGGCAAAGGCACTCCTCCAGACTTGCCCAGGTGGCAGACTATGCAAACCAAAGTTCTATTGTCCCTTTGTAGTAGGTGCTTAGAATGTACTTCCCAATACATATCCTGTATCCGCCTTTTGCCCCAACACACTCCTCTATGTTAATCATGTATAACCCTCCCCTTTTCTGATGTAGTGATGATGTTTAACCAACTGTATGCTGGGATAAGATAGAAACTTTTAAGAGTCCTTTTTCACCCCATCCTCGGGGTTCAAAATTCCTCTGTGAACCTGTTGCACAATAAACTTTGGTCTACAGCTATTTGCTCCGGCTGGTGGCTGGACTCCTTCCTGCCCGAAGAGCTGGGTGACTGAGCAGCCTTGCACCTAGATTTTTCCGTAACATTAAAACAATCAAATAATTATGTCAGTTTCAACCAAGGGAGGCAGTTGGTGGAGCTCTTCCATTTCACCGGTGCCAGGAGATGGGGAATTCCCATACAGGTGAAAGTTCAGAAGTTCTTAGCAGCACCACTCAAACTAAGTAAGCTTTTTGCGGGGTATTTATATCGCATTACATCACATATATCTTCTTCTTCCAGAAATGGAGGTGGCGGTCTCATTGCAGGCGCTAGAGATTCAGTGATCACTCGGCAGGGGCTCGATTTCACCACATGGGCCCTGAATGCTGATAACAAAAGACTGTCCCATAAATTTTGCTGAGTCCAGATGTAGACATTGTTCCCTCATTCTTATTGTGAGCTGCAAGGATAATATAGAGCCATATGCTTGATTCCTGGTACAAAGCGAAGTGGCAAGCATGATTTGTGCACTCTTATGGATGATTCTGGAGTGCTTAAGATGTTTACCCTCATCCCACGAGGCTGGTGCTTTCTGGTGTGGCATTCATGAGTCCACATTAACAGTCAGGATATTGAAGCAACACATTTTGCAAATACAAGTACAGTGGAACCTTGCTTCTCTTTTTTTAAAAAAAAGATATTTATTAAAGTTTCAACATATTACAAAAATAAGCGAAAAAAGAAAGAAAAAAAGAGAAAAAAATAGAAAATGAAAATACAAGATAAAAACAGTTAAAAAACAGATCAGTCTTTCCATATCTTATCTTTCATTTGCTTGTTTCCCTGACCTCCTCACACCTCCCTTTTTTGTATTCCAGTTCAAATTAGTTAATTCAGCAAATTCTTTCCCTCTTTGACTTTATCTTAATCTTTTATCTTAATATATTATAACTTCAGATTATCACCTGTTAACAATCCATTTTTACATATTCCTTTATAACATTGCTGCTAAAAACCACTTAACTTCAATCCAACATCATTCTAACATTCATTAATTTTGCAGTATTTCTGTAGATAGTCTTTAAATTTCTTCCAATCTTCTTCCACCGACTCTTCTCCCTGGTCTCGGATTCTGCCAGTCATTTCCGCCAGTTCCATATAGTCCATCACCTTCATCTGCCATTCTTCCAGAGTGGGTAAATCTTGTGTCTTCCAATACTTTGCGATAAGTATTCTTGCTGCTGCTGTAGCATACATAAAGAAAGTTCTATCCTTCTTTAACACCAATTGGCCAACCATGCCCAGGAGAAAGGCCTCTGGTTTCTTCAGAAAGGTATATTTAAATACCCTTTTCATTTCATTATAAATCATCTCCCAGAAAGCCTTAATCCTTGGGCACGTCCACCAAAGGTGAAAGAATGTACCTTCAGTTTCTTTACATTTCCAACATTTATTATCGGGCAAATGATAGATTTTTGCAAGCTTGACTGGTGTCATGTACCACCTGTAAATCATTTTCATAATATTCTTTCTTAAGGCATTACATGCCGTAAACTTCATACCTGTGGTCCATAACTGTTCCCAGTCAGCCATCATTATGTTATGTCCAACATCTTGTGCCCATTTAATCATAGCAGATTTCACCGTTTCATCCTGAGTATTCCATTTCAACAGCAAGTTATACATCTTTGACAAAATCTTGGTTTTGGAGTCTAACAGTTCTGTTTCCAATTTTGATTTTTCCACCTGGAAGCCAATTTTCTTATCCAAATTATATGCCTCCATTATCTGATAATAATGAAGCCAATCTCGCACTTTATTTTTAGTTTTTCAAAACTCTGCAGTTTCAATTTGTCTCCCTCTTGTTCCAAAATTTCCCAATATTTCGGCCATTTGGCCTCCATATTGAGCTTTTTCTGAGCCTTCGCTTCCATCGGTGACAACCACCTTGGGGTTTTATTTTCAAGTAGGTCCTTATATCTTATCCAGACATTAAACAATGCTTTCCTGACAATATGATTTTTAAATGCTTTATGTGCTTTGACCTTATCATACCACAAATATGCATGCCATCCAAATACATTATTAAAACCTTCTAAATCCAAAATGTCTTGTGTTTTCAAGAAGTAGCCACTCTTTCAGCCAGCAAAAAGCTGCTGATTCATAATAAAGTTTAAGGTCTGGCAGGGCAAATCCACCTCTTTCCTTTGTGTCCGTTAGTATTTTAAATTTTATTCTAGGCTTCTTGCCCTGAGTGGAACCTTGGTTCTCGAATGGCTTAATGGACAAACAAATCGGCTCCTGAATGCTGAAAACCCGGAAGTGTTCTGGTTTTAGAACGTTTTCCGGAAGCCAAACATCTGATGTGGCTGTCAGCTATTGTTTCTGGGGCGCTGGCGCCAATCGGAAGCCACACTTTGATTTTCGAACGTTTCAGGAGTCAAAGGGACTTCTGCAACAGGTTAAGTTTGAGAACCAAGGTACCACTGTATCTGTTATCTTTGTTCACTTCTAAGGCACTTTAAGCTTCTTTTGTTCTTAAGGAGCTTTCATTTTAATGTTATATTTACAACTGCTCCAGTCTACAAACAGTAGCATAATATCTCATTACTGGTGTGTATGGGTGTGTGTGCAGAATGCTTTGGGACCACGTTTTGCAGAGCATTCACAATACTGGATACACTACTAAGAGAATGAATTCCATCTTCCCAGTAGAAAAAAAATATGTCTTCATTTCCCCAACATTCAGTGCTACTGCAAGGAAAGTACTATCTTGAGGACACCCACAGAACCAACGCAAATAAAACAGCCTATTTATATGATGTTAAACATGATCACACTCTGCTGCCTGACATGCCACTTCCACAGTTGGGATAAAGGTCTTCTTCCTGAACTTAAAAGCGACGGATGGCATCCAACCAAGTCATACTCAGAATGGATCCACTGAAACCAATGGATCACGGCCATGCTCATTGTTGCCAGTACTTCCCATCTTCAATGGTGGCCCCTTCCAAAGGGCTTCAGTGATGCTGTTTCTTAGGTGCCACTGTGGTCTAAAGGATAGAGCTGAAAGAAGGCCCAGCTTCTGTCTACTGCAGGGATGAAAAAGATGTATTTTGTGACACCCTTTAAACAGATTTCACAAAGGGTACTTTACATTACCATCTTAAAAAGCAGAGACATCACCTTGCCAACAAAGGTCCATATAGTTAAAGCTATGGTTTTCCCAGTAGTGATGTATGGAAGTGAGAGCTGGACCATAAAGAAGGCTGATCGCCAAAGAATTGATGCTTTTGAACTATGGTGCTGGAGGAGACTCTTGAGAGTCCCATGGACAGCAAGAAGATCAAACCTATTCATTCTTAAGGAAAACAGCCCTGAGTGCTCACTGGAAGGACAGATCCTAAAGCTGAGGCTCCAATACTTTGGCCACCTCATGAGAAGAGAAGACTCCCTGGAAAAGATCCTGATGTTGGGAAAGATGGAGGGCACAAGGAGAAGGGGACGACAGAGGACGAGATGGTTGGACAGTGTTCTTGAAGCTACCAGCATGAGTTTGACCAAACTGCGAGAAGCAGTGGAAGAAAGGAGTGCCTGGCATGCTCTGGTCCGTGGGGTCACGCAGAGTTGGACACGACTAAACGACAACAAAACTTTACATTAGTTTAAGCAAAGCTGCTTATGGTACCCACCCCTTCTTTTACAACTAACACCTCTTGTCTGTATATTTAACACGGCAATTTAGTGCCCTCTGCCTGGTTGAGGGCTGCTTTATCTCCACTGAAACCGAGCACTGAATGACAGATACACACACGAGAAAGTAAAGGGAACTCCTGCCTGCAGACCGCTGCTAACATTAATTCAGTCATTATATCAATTAAGTAGTTAATTAAATGTAATATTAATTTTCTGCTTAAGATTAAGTTGATGGATTATGCCGAAATGGCAAAAATGACCGGAAGAATCAGAAATCAGGAAGACCAAAATTTAAATAAAGAATGGGGAAAATTTTTAACAAAACCATTGTAAGCAGATAAAATTGTTAGCAGGATTGGAATAACACTTGTAGTTTAATGGTGAATTTTGGATATAATGCAGCTGTAAAAGATTTGGATTATTATAAAATATGTAGGAGGAAATGACTAACAGTAAGATCCACAAAGGGGATAAGGGAAGTCCAGGAGATTCTTTGGAATCTTGTATTTATGCTGGATATGTGATTGTAAAACTGTAATTTGAAAAACCACATTTATATATTTAAAAATGTAGTATTAATTTTATTCTCTCTCTCTCTCTAACACACACACACACACACTCATTCTACAGCAAAACCCAAGATGCAAAAAATCACAGTAATCATAGACAACATAGTTGCTCCTAGAAGATAGGAACAGGCATGGACAACAGCCTCATGAAAGGCCCAAGACTGTCCCTTCAAAGCTAATGAACAGCACCAACTTCTATATTCAGTCGGCATCTCTGGTTTGTGCTCTTTTCATGGGTGGGATGCAAAGCACCTGGCCGAGTCCTTGGGCAGCTTCATAAGCCTTCTGCCTGCCTTCTTCCTGTCTCCGCTTCAGCTCTGCTTTCAGCCTTGCTTCTTTTTTTCTCAGATCCCTGATCACATCTGTTGCTGTTGCACCTTCTGCGATGGATTTCTGGGGCTTTGCTGACCTGACCGTTTTGCTGGTCTTTAAACACTTGCTTTTAAATACAAGTCTGTATGGTCCATGCATCGCACCGATTCTATTGCCACTACTGTGGCAATTCAGATCAGACAGCTTCAGCTCCACGACGTCTTGTGTTTTTTTGACAGCCATGCAAAACTCGCTCTCTCCTAGCTCCTCCTGCTCTCTTGCTCGGACCTGCGAAGAGGAAAGGACAACTCAGCTGATAATATGTGCTCTAAAAGAGCAATGAGAGAACAGAGTTTTATTTTGTCAGTCTTAGTTAATTAACAGAGCTCAATGAAACCCTTGTTGTCTTTATAAACAGGACCCCAGGCATATTGTTACGATTTCTATTAACAGGCTAAAAACATAAATACAGAGTTCTGAAATCAATCAGTCTAGTTTTATGATATCAATCTGTCTAGATTTCTAACAGGCCCCCAAATCAACCCTTACCGTTCCACAGCAGCTCAGTTTCCTGTAGGCTATAAGCTCACCCAGCCCATCATATAGAGTCAACAGATCTTTCCTGTATCTGTCCAGTTCTTGAATTGTTCTCTTAATGCCGTAACAATACAGATCAGCACTTGGCAAAATAGTGTCCTTGTTAAATGTGTTGTGGGGTTTTGCATCTTCTGTTTCAGGACTGAAAAGGGTCTCCTGGAAGGTGGAAGGAGGGGAATTCCAAAGCTGTATTAATTTTTCTTAATGAGGAACTTATTGCCACATTTGTCTAGAGACTGGTGCAACAGATAAACAAGCCAGGTTAACTTTATATCCAACCTCTGTTTGTGAAATGGTATGCAGTTCTTGAGCAACATATTCTATTCTCAGAGAATACAGAAAAGTTGCTTATTCCTAGCAAAAGGATTTGTTTAGGCACTTGCAAATGGAAACTGGTACCCCATAAGAGTAAAAAACTGTGTGTGTCGGGAGAGACTTTGCAAGAAAAGCAGATGCAAGACTTCTTAAATCTCTGTCACAACAACTAAAACCACACCACCTTCTGATCCTTTTGTTAATGGCTGTGTTGGAAGGAAACACAGACACATCACTTTAAAAAGAATTGCCCAAAATTAAAATTCCTAACCTTGCTAAATTTAAAAAGAGGGAGAAAAACCTTAGAATACTACACCATTTCTGCATTAAGGGATTATATTGCTGATTAACATATTGCAAAAACAGCTGCTTGCTATAGAACTTGTCTAGCTGAATTTACTGCAAATATTTAAAAGATTCGAGCAGAGCTGGAAGAGCTCCAGGTCTGGAATCTAGAATATCTGGAAACGTTGCACAATTTCACCAGTGATCAAGTCAGTGCGCAAAAGTGTTATCGGCTCCTATGCAAGTCAGTGCAAATGCATTTGTGGGTTTTGAACTACTTTATAGAAAAATTTCTAACCTCTTTGCTACATGGGAACAGAATCCAAATACTCATTCTGTCAACACATTGTCTTTAAGGAATATTTTCCGCAGCTGTTAAATGTGCTGAATGGTTATATTATTTATGTATTTGCTCTTGAAGCCTTCATCAGATGCAAAGAGGATTTTATTGATTCTTAAAATCATTCAACACTGTCCAGGGAAATCTGCAATTCCACAATGCTACCTGACTGCAATTCTAGTGGCTCACAAAATTTAGTGCCCTGCAGTTTGTAATGAAGGCATTTTGTTTACAGCAACGTTTATACTGTCATATTTTAAAAAGTACAAAAGGAGAAGAACAGACATTTCTTTCATTTACAATTACTGCAGATGTATGGCATGGCGCTTTGCTCCTGTCAGCCAAAGTCCAGCATTGCAACTGAGATAAAATTAAGCAGCACAGGGAGTTCTTAGGAAGCTCTCTTTCACTGATACTCGTAAGTCCACAAAAAATATGGAATACATGTGGTTTGAAGCAAGATCTCCTAATTTGAGAGTTACATTTATCATAGCAGGGAAGGAGAGCAGGCATGGTGCCAAATGAGCCAGAGAATGTTTTGGAGTGGAGCAAGACTTACAAGAACCAAGTTTACATTACTGCTTTGACATTCTCATCAGCAAAGAGGGCAGCCCAGGCACTGTCATAGGCCTTAACATAAGCTTCCACCACAAATACTGTCTTAGATCTAAAGCAAGCATTGTACATTGCCTAGCTTTTAATGAGGTTTTTATTCATAATGATAATCTTCTCCACCTTTTAAGCAGGAACTCTTGCTGGCTATCACCAGCTGGAACAAAAGGCCAGGAAAATATACCTGTGTAACATTTCCCCCACCCCCAGAAAAACAATACAGTGGTACCTTGCAAGACGAATGCCTCGCAAGACGAAAAACGCGCAAGACGAAAGAGTTTTCCGTTTTTTGAGTCGTTCCGCAAGACGAATTTCCCTATGGGCTTGCTTCGCAAGACGAAACGTCTTGCGAGTTCTTTTCCTTTTTCTTAAAGCCGCTACGCCGTTAATAGCCACTAATAGCCGTGCTTCGCAAGACGAAAAAACCGCAAGATGAAGAGACTCGCAGAACGGATTAATTTCGTCTTGCGAGGCACCACTGTACACAACTTGTCCCTCAAGTATTTAATCATACCATCCAATGCCAGTAAACTGGTTCCAGGAGCTTCCACTTGAGAAAGGCTTCCAGTCGAGAGCTATCCGATTCAACCAACTGCAACAACTGAACGAAGGGGGGGGGGGGGGGGAGGAAAGTTTTTCACTATTACTATAAGACTGAAAGTAATACAGCCACTCAGCACAGATGAGATAGGATTCTGTAACAGATTGATCCAAATTCTGCACACCAACCACCAAGGTTTTGAAGCCAGATTTTAAAAAATTGCTTCCCATCAATATCAATGTTTTGCATTTATGTAAAGGGACCCCTGACCATTAGGTCCAGTCGTGGCTGACTCTGGGATTGTGGCGCTCATCTCACTTTACTGGCCAAGGGAGCCGGCGTACAGCTTCCGGGTCATGTGGCCAGCATGACTAAGCCGCTTCTGGCGAACCAGAGCAGTGCACAGAAACGGCGTTTACCTTCCCGCCGGAGCGGTACCTATTTATCTACTTGCACTTTGATGTGCTTTTGAACTGCTAGGTTGGCAGGAGCTGGGACCGAGCAACAGGAGCTCACCCCGTCACGGGGATTCGAACCACCGACCTTCTGATCAGCAAGTCCTAGGCTCTGTGGTTTAACCCACAGCGCCACCCGCGTCCCTTGCATTTATGTAGCACTTTACAATTCTTCACGTATATGGGGGGGGGGGGTAGATCACATCCGCCTAATGCAGAGGTGGAGGAAGGTAAGAAGAGCCAATGTGCCAATGGCTAATCCAGCCCAACGTCCTGTTCTCACAGTCAACAACCAGAGGGTCCCAATGCAGTCCCTCAAGCCCCCACTGGTGTCAGCAGCTGCAGCAGAAAGGGAAAGAAGAAGACATAGCAGTGGAGCAGGCAGGGGGATGCAAATCATACCTTCCCCAGGTGTTTGAGGAGTGGGGAGAACTCACCCCCACCTCGGCTGGTCTACATGGCAGCTGCAGCCCTGTATCAGCAAGTGCATTTGTGTATGCCAGCGATACCCACTGCTGGGATGCAGCCCCAGAGTGTTGGCACCTGGGCCAGAAAGGTTAGCCAGCCCTGATCCATAGAACACACAGGAATTACCATTCTCCAATGCTGAAAACTGCCTTGCATAAAAAATTTCACACTAGACATTTTGAATGTTTCCAAAAGCATTTCATTCCTTCCAAAGGGAACATATTTCACAGCAGTGTCCTTTTCAGTGTCCTTCAAAATTTCCTTTGCTGTTGGAAAAACGGAAAGAAGTCGGGGGGGCGGGGCGGGGGGAGAAACCCACCAGTTTTTTCTCCCCGGGACTTCACATATTTAGCTGAACAATACAGATTCAGTGGTACCTCAGTTTACGTTACCTTTGGGTAACATAATTTCAAGTTACGAACGTGGCAAACCCGGAAGTGTATACTTCCGGGTTTTGCCATGTACACATGTGCAGAAGTGCTCTATCACGCTGCGTGCAGAAGCGGCATCTCCGGATATGGACTTTTCAGGTAAGTATGGACCCCCGGGACAATTTAAGTTCGTATCCGGAGGGTCCATATATAATATATACAACTAACAATGAAACGCTTTATCTCACTATCAAATGATCAGCTGCAACAAGGGGGAAAGTTGGAGGAGCAGCTCTTGGGGAATCTTCTCAAAGCAACACATGCCATCCTCATTTTGTGGCTGCACCCAGCCCCTCCACTGCCCTCCTAGTCATCGGTTTCATTTCAATTTTCATTGGCAATCTCAGCTCTTATTCCGGAGCACGCTGGGCCTCATTGTATCCAAGATAAAACCAAAGTCAGTGACAGTCCTAGCTTTGTTGAAAGTAAAGTTGCATTCCAAGGCAAATAAGAATAAAGCTGGAAGGGGCTTCTAAGGCCACCCAGTCCTGCAAATGCAGGAAATCTACATCTACAGCATCCCTAGGATGAGGCCATCCTGCCCTCTGCTTAAAAATGGCTAACAAAACAGAGCCTAGCCATTTCCAAGGCAGTCTATTCCACTGTCAACTCATACGCGAAGGAAGTTCATCCTGCTGTTTAAATGAAATCCTGTTTTGTAATTGGAAGCCGCTGCTTTTGGGCCATACTGTCTGGAGCCACACATGGCAAAAGTGCTCCACTCCTTCATCCTTTCCTCCTAGCACTTCATGCCACGCACCATCTGCCACCCTCCACTGGGTATTTGCCTATGTTTTTAAACTGTGGTTCTCAGAAATGGACACAGTACTCCAAGTAAGGTCTGACCAAGCCCAACAGAACAATTGGGCTTCTTGTGATCTGGACACTGCACTTCTGTGGACGCAGCAGAGAACTGCATTAGCCTTTTTTTGCTGCATCACGGAGCTGGTTAGTTTGCGTTCTATTGTTGTTGAGCCAGTTGTGCATCTGACTCTTTCTGCCTAAAAGTTTACATATCTCTGAGAGAATTAATTTTGTTTGACCCAGTTCTCCACCCTCTCAAGACCATATTGGATTCAGTTCCTGTCTTCTAATTCACTAGCTAACCCACCCAGCTTGATGCCATCTGCAAAAAATATGACGGTTTATTCCTTTGTCCAAATCATTTAGAAAGAAGTTGAGCCGTGTAGTTCCCACAAGCCACCCCTGGCCAGGTTGATGAGGAGCTGTTGCTTGGCACTTTTTTTTGGTATGATCAATCAACCAGCTACAAATCCAGCTAATCATAGTATTGTCTAGCCCACATATTAGCAGCTTGCCAAAAAGAATATTATGAGGAACCCTGTCAAAGGCTTTACTGAAATCAAAATATACTATGTTGGAGTCATCAAAGCAAAATGGCAAGGATGCCTTCTGGCAGCCATCTGTCGACAAAAGCAAACTGCTGATGTAGGTTTCTGGAGCTAGAAAGGAGTCTCTGTAGGGCTGTACATCTGAGGTTTCCCAGCTGCCCCCGAATTCCTGTTCCTCACTCTCCCTCCATATTATAGTGGCGACAAAGTTCATTTCAAATCTTATCTCAGCCACAAATGTACTTGTGGTCTGAGGCTAGCCCATATTTCTCTGCCTCAACCACCCAAAGGCGTGGTTTAAAAATACATACCTTAAAAGGTGGTTGTAAGAATGACTGTCATAGTTTATGTGTGAACACTGCAAAGCACTATATAAATGCAAAATAAAAATTCCAAAGACTACAAATATAATATTTAGCATGCAGCCTCAATGCATTACATTAATTCAGTGCATTACAATGAGGGGAAAAAATGATTTTAGTTAACATTCAACAAACTTTTCAAAATAGACCAGAACGCAAATAAAATTATGCTGAACTATGAATTGCCAAAACCTGAAATAGGGTATTTACTAATAGATCTGCACTATAAAAGAGGTGTACTTTACTATTATAATGAGGTATACTGCCTTACTCAGATTTAGTAACCAGCAATTTTACACAGAAGAGGAAATATTGGGCACTTCTTCATGAGGTGTCCCTCACACTAGGGCCAGGCGATGTCAGGTTTTCAACATCGAAATATGTTGTTGTTTAGTCGTGTCCGACTCTTTGTGACTCCATGGACCAGAGCATGCCAGGCACTCCTGTCTTCCACTGCCTCCCGCAGTTTGGTCAAACTCATGCTGGTAGCTTCGAGAACACTGTCCAACCATCTCGTCCTCTGTCGTCCCCTTCTCCTTGTGCCTTCCATCTTTCCCAACATCAGGGTCTTTTCCAGAGAGTCTTCTCTTCTCATGAGGTGGCCAAAGTATTGGAGCCTCAGCTTTAGGATCTGTCCTTCCAGTGAGCACTCAGGGCTGTTTTCCTTAAGAATGAATAGGTTTGATCTTCTTACTGTCCATGGGACTCTCAAGAGTCTCCTCCAGCACCATAGTTCAAAAGCATCAATTCTTTGGCGATCAGCCTTCTTTATGGTCCAGCTCTCACTTCCACACATCACTACTGGGAAAACCATAGCTTTAACTATATGGACCTTTGTTGGCAAGGTGATGTCTCTGCTTTTTAAGATGCTAATGTAAAGTACCCTTTGTGAAATCTGTTTAAAGGGTGTCACAAAATACATCCTTTTCATCCCTGCAGTAGACAGAAGCTGGGCCTTCTTTCAGCTCTATCCTTTAGACCACAGTGGCACCTAAGAAACAGCATCACTGAAGCTCTCACTTCCATATGGTCCAGCTCTCACTTCCATACATCACTACTGGGAAAACCATAGCTTTTACTATACGGACCTTTGTTGGCAAGGTGATGTCTCTGCTTTTTAAGATGCTGTCTAGGTTCACATCGCAATATATCGCCAGGCAAACATTGTGATCGGGTGATCAACCGTGATGTTCAAAACACTGCTTCCCACCACAGCACTGCTAGGCATGGAGGTGAAATCGCTGAGGCAGTTTCACCCCAGTGCCTCACCACACCAGGGAGGAAGCAGCTTCGCACTTTCCAGCTGAGCAGCCCCATCCTTCTCCGGCTTGCACATGAGCCCAAGAAGCATCAGGACTGTTCAGCTGGGAGGTGCAATCCAATCTCTTTCCTCCCGGTGGATAACTCTGGAGGAAAAAGACCAGCTGCCTACCCACTTGCTCCCACGGAGGCAAACAAGCAGCCAGCCAGGCAGATGGGAGAGGCTCCCTCTGCCTGGCTGGCTGTGTGTTTGCCTCCTCGCGAGCAAGAAGGCCAGCCGGGGCGCAAGAAGGCTCTCGCCCCCCCCCCCCAGCTGAGCAATCCCCATGCCCCTCCTGCTCTCATGGAAGCCATAGGGACCTGGGGCATCGGTGGGAGGAACAAGCTGTACCGGTGCCTCGCCAATTGTTTTCCCCTCTGCTGGTATGAGAGGCAGACCATGATGGTGGTTTCACTCAGCAGTATATCGCTGGCAAAACTGCTGTCACTCCTGAGTCCCACTGCCTCCAGCACCCGGCTGCAGTTTGTTTCTCCCTCATTTGACTCTCCACAGATGTCAGCTATTGACTTGCCTGGTTTTGCTAGTTTGCCTCACAGATCATTCAGAATCTGAATATTTTCAGCTTTAATGCATTCGTTAGAATGCTGCTGAATCTATTAAGAAAAAACTCTGTAGCAAGACTAAAAGAAATCTGCATCAAGTCCGGGGATTGGGGCCAGGGTGAGAAAACTGAACAAATAATGATTAGGAAAACTCAACAGGTATAGAGGGGAAGACCACACATCCTTCCTAATTTGTTTGAACGATCACTCGAGTTTGTCAATATTGTATATTGCTTTTCCATTTCTCCTAAGAAAGGAATGAATGTAAATGACAACCAGAAATTCTTTGAATGCTTCCATTAACACCCACATTTTAAATCTGTGCTTGATATATCAAGTGATTAATCCATGGCATCTTTTTTTAATAGGTTAACTATTTTACAATCTTGTTGTTCCACCTGCTACAAGGTCAGTGTTGGGAGATCATGCAGGGACAAAGGAAAGACAGAGATACTGAAGGTACTGGGGGGGGGCAAGTTTATAGGTTAAAGCTATGCAAAGTGTTCTGCTTCTTTCCAACTAGAATAATCAAGAGTAGACAGAAAATTTTGCACAGAAACACCTTTTCATGTCCATCAAAGTGTTCTCAGAGTGGAGCGTATTATAATTATTTCAATTTAGTATCTGCCCTTAACCATCAAGTCCCAGGACAGGTTAAATCTCTGGAAAGGGTGTCCACAGATTTCCATTTTTTTTGGGGGGGGGCATCATATACAGTAACCATCAGAAAAAAGTATGCTTGCTACACAGTCCAGTAATTTATAAAGGCCTTGATAAGCCAGAGTATCATTTTTCAAGAAGCAATAACTCCACGTGCTTGGCCAATAAAACGTGGCAAGCAATGACTCTTTTCTGAAGCTTCCCTTTAAAACGGTGACAGCAACTATAGCACTGCAGCTCTATTAATTCTCTTTCTGGTGTGGAAAATTTTCAACTGAGGGCACATACAGGTGACAGATTACGGCCAAGGGAAAATTTTAGCTCAAGGCAATAATGCCGCCAAGTAGAAATGACCAGCTTGAACATTATTAAACATTACTGGAACGCTGCCAGGGCTTCCCAGTGGGGCACTAATTGCCTAGCTAAAAAAATAATACCTGAAGAAATATGTTGCAGGGGACCTCAGATGCATTCACATCCACAAGCAGAGCTTCAGGTACTCTGGATCTCAAATATCACACTTGTTCTAACGTGAAGGGCAAATTAATGTATTCCTTGGTATCTCAGCAGTGCTATCTATCATCTATCTATCCATCCATCCATCTATCTATCATCTGTATTTGCCAGTAGAGAAATTACAGCATTGTCTCTTGTAGCCAGGATGATGCCATATTCTGCCAGTGGTGGAGATATGGTATATTTCAGCCTGCTTATGCAGGTGTCTCAGTGGCTACCAAACTTGGGGCAGCAGCAGATGAGGCCCTGCCAAAGATAATTAGCAGGGGCGATGGGAAAGGCAAGGACAACACTTTTTCTACAGGCCAGTCCATTTTGGTGGACTGAGCCTTTCCCCTCCCAGAGGCAATTGGAACCAATGTGAGGAAGAACAGCAGGACCCTCTGCCCTGGCATGCAGGTGTGTCACTTGGACTCCCCTGAACCTTTACTGCTGCAGCATGTGCAATGAGATTACCGGCAGATTCAAGCAAGGCCACACCCTAAACCACAGTCACTTCAAGGAAGCTCAGGATGACAGGCTATTTCTTGAAAGAACATCCAATCCCTTTACCTTTTGAGTCTTCTTTTGTTTCAATCTCTGAGCCAGAGGGGAGAGATGGTTTTATTACTAGTATCTCCACTACTAGTAATTCTGGGCACCACAGTTCAAGAAGGACACTGACAAACTGGAACGTGTCCAGAGGAGGGCAACCAAAATGGTCAAAGGCCTGGAAACGATGCCTTATGAGGAACGGCTAAGGGAGCTGGGCATGTTTAGCCTGGAGAAGAGGAGGTTAGGGGGTGATATGATAGCCATGTTCAAATATATAAAAGGATGTCACATAGAGGAGGGAGAAAGGTTGTTTTCTGCTGCTCCAGAGAAGCGGACACGGAGCAATGGATCCAAACTACAAGAAAGAAGATTCCACCTAAACATTAGGAAGAACTTCCTGACAGTAAGAGCTGTTTGACAGTGGAATTTGCTGCCAAGGAGTGTGGTGGAGTCTCCTTCTTTGGAGGTCTTTAAGCAGAGGCTTGACAACCATATGTCAGGAGTGCTCTGATGGTGTTTCCTGCTTGGCAGGGGGTTGGACTCGATGGCCCTTGTGGTCTCTTCCAACTCTATGATTCTATGAATTCTGGGGGCCTTTTTTTAGTTTGAAGAGGATGGTAAAAATGCTTTAAATAAATGGAATTTCATTTGTAGAGAACCTTTTCTTTCAGACAAGTAAAAATGTTGTTGCTTCAGTTGGCCTTTGAGAATTAACAATGGCTCAGCCTTGTTTGTTTTGATTGCTGCATTGTTGCTTTCAGCTCATATTATATACAGTATTTGTTGTTGTTTGGTTATCTTAATTGTAAACCACTATAAGAGCTTATTACAAATATTTATACAGCACAATAATTGCATTACATTACAAAATATTGCAATACAGTACCATCAGAATAGGATGATTTGCACACGATGATCTCAGGAGAATGAATGCGTATTGCAACTGGCCATGTGGCAAAAGTGTCACCACAATGTTCATCATTTGCTCAGCAAGCCAGACAGTTTTCCCATTTGTCTCATTACCTACTGAATGGCAATCCCAGGAAACTGCCATCTACCCTGTCAAGAGGTCAAGCATGAAGCACATTCATCTTCCCTGAGGACACTCCTGGCTCAGGCTTGCATTTTTGTCCATTGTGACTGCCTTGCAAACCTGAAGCAGGTAAGAAAAGGACCAGTGACAGGTCATAGAATCATAGAGTTGGAAGAGACCACAAGGGCCATCGTGTCCAACCCCCTGCCAAGCAGGAAACACCATCAGAGCACTCCTGACATATGGTTGTCAAGCCTCTGCTTAAAGACCTCCAAAGAAGGAGACTCCACCACACTCCTTGGCAGCAAATTCCACTGTCAAACAGCTCTTACTGTCAGGAAGTTCTTCCTAATGTTTAGGTGGAATCTTCTTTCTTGTAGTTTGGATCCATTGCTCCGTGTCTGCTTCTCTTATCACCCCTTAACCTCCTCTTCTCCAGGCTAAACATGCCCAGCTCCCTTAGCCGTTCCTCATAAGGCATCGTTTCCAGGCCTTTGACCATTTTGGTTGCCCTCCTCTGGACACGTTCCAGTTTGTCAGTGTCCTTCTTGAACTGTCGTGGGACTAAAGAACAACAAACAGAATAGGAGAGGCAGCAGTGACCTGCCAGGGAGCACCATGAAGGGAAGCAAAGGGCTGCCTTCAGTGATCACACAAACTACATGGCAGAGAAGGAGAACTTGCATTTCTGGGCAAAGTGCTTGAACATCTATGATCTATCCCTACATAGTAGCTGATTACCTGGAACCCTCTCAGATTAGCAACCCAGATTACTTGTTATTTCAAGATGTGACCATCATTCTGATATATTATACAAATCTGTTTGAACGGTTTATGTTAATACTAAAAGTGTTGCAAGTCATTCTGAGCCTTTGGAATATGGATGGATGATAGTTTTAAATTAAATACAAAAACAGTGACTGGAAATATCCACAGATAAAACTATGCTGAAGAGAAACTTTGAAAGGCAATTTCTTTACGTTTAAAAGCAGGTGCTGAAGTCTGACAGCTGGTGAAATAGCTGTATTTTAATTGGAAACGTCCTGTCATTTCTCTCCCCCCCCCCCCCAAAAAATACACCTTAACTGTCAGAACCAGATTGCTCACTTTATGCTAGCTCACAGTGAAAATGAATTATATGCTTCGCTAAAAGCAGACTAACACTTTTAGGATGGCTAGTGGCAGACACAAACACTGAATAGGTCTATCCTTTGAGGGGAAGCTAGAGTAATTTGTATCATCACCACCATCATACAGCAAAGGGGCTATTTGCAGTAAGATATACTAATATGGGGACATGGGTGGTGCTGTGGTCTAAACCTAGGGCTTGCCGATCAGAAGGTCGGCAGTTCGAATCCCCGCAACAGGGTGAGCTCCTGTTGTTCGGTCCCAGCTCCTGCCCACCTAGCAGTTTGAAAGCATGTCAAGTGCAAGTAGGTAAATAGGTACCACTCCAGCGGGAAGGTAAACAGCGTTTCCATGCGCTGCTCTGGTTTGCCAGAAGCGGCTTAGTCATGCTGGCCACATGACCCGGAAAAACTGTTTGCGGTCAAACGCCGGCTCCCTCGGCCTATAGAGCGAGATGAGCGCGCAACCCCAGAGTTATCCGCGAATGGACCTAACAGTCAGGGGTATCTTTACCTTTTATACTAATATGCTGGTTTTTTCATTCAACTGTGGTATAATTATTCAAAGAAAATTTAACTGAAGTGTGATACAGTTTTGAGAAAGGCCCGTCTCCCTATTATGCCAAGCTATGCTGACACCAAAGAGGAAAAGCAGTAGCAGCTGCCGCCAGGTACTTTCCATCATGTCTGTATGTCACCTGGATTTCAGGTGAGATCCCTGCTCCCTGCAGCTACCGACTGCCACCACTGAGGCTCCTAGAAGGAGAGGAAGAAGCAGGCCTCCCACTGTGCTACATGGCCTGCAGAACCTTGTAACTAAGAACTGGTGCCTGACTTTGCTTTTTACCTATTCCATTCTCATCCCCTTTCCTGTTAGACTGTAAGCCAGAGGGCAGAGATTGCCTTTTCCTATGGTCTTTGTAAGCTGAAAATTGAAGCAAAATCCTTTAAATAAACAAAGTAACTTATGCCAGAGTGGCATGGTTTGAATTTGCATAAGGCCACTTAGGCTTTAGCTGGATGATTCTTAAAAACATGTCTGTATGTGAATTATTTAAATGTTTTTTTTCCCCTCCTTAGCCCCAAAACACTTGGATATTTCTCTACTGCCAAGCCAATGTAGAGCCACCCTCAGGTAGTAGATAGCACTAACTGGTGTTTTCGTTTTCCTTGTTTTGTGTCCAAAGAGCAGTGAAAATTAAGCTATGAAGTCCAAAACGTAACAAAATCCTGGCACCAAGGCCTGAGTAGACTGCTACAATCAGCAAAAAAGGACTTAAAAACTTGGGACGACAGGTATAGGGACAAAGATAAAGCAAAGTCAAAGCCAACAAATGCTTAATACCACCAATTAGAAGCAAAATAGATGTAGATCCTCACTAGCTGATGATCGGAAGGATTCTATGGAAAAAGATACTGGAATCTATTAGCATGAAGGGGAGGAGTTCAAAGCTCTATTTCCTGTGCCTGAAGGAAGTCAGAGGCTGGAATCTGACCTTTCTAAGTGTACATACTATAGAGAATCAAATTTCCTATGAATCTAGGCATATGTGAGTGCCATGCTCTTTGGAATGCATGCAACCTACACAACACACACATTGGCTCTCCATGCTCCCCTGTCAATTGAGGTCCACAGTGTGTGTGTCTATGGGAAGATTCTCTCTGTGGTGTCTCCGTGCTTATGCAACGACCTCCTCTTTGTTATGCTTGGCACTGCTCTCCTTTTGGAGAGAGATGATGGCATACCTCTTTGTCTAGGCTTTGGGGGAGGCCTAGGGTGCACTGGGGACTGAGCGTACTTCTGCCTCATTTTTGCTGCTTTTCAGCTTTCTTACTGGGATTTTACTGCGAACTGTTACTGTTAAAGCTTACTGTTAATGATACGGATGTGGGTTTTTTAGTTTATATTATCAACTTTTGGTTTTAACAGATATGTATTCCCCACTCTGGGACCTTTGAGTGAAGGGTGGATTACAAGCACTTGTAACAATTCTCTTGCGAAGGCCTCAAGATGCTCACACAGTCCAACGGCATCAGCCTGCATCTAGGCACCCAGTACATCAAGAGACCAGCCAGTCCGCTTGGGGAATCACGGAGCTAGGAAGTCTTCCGTTTCTGGTGGATTATGGCTTGAGGGCTGAAAATCTAGTCCTCCAATTCTGGCATACATATTGATTCACAGAATTCTCCATAGTTTCTAACATAGCACTATGCCACAAAAGGATTACCTGTTTGTAATTCTCTGGTTGCCTGACAACATCTGCTTCTGTGATGGAGAAATGGCCAATAATTGGATCAGTATGAGAACCAATTGTGTATGAATGTACCTGGAACAGAGAGGTGTGGGCTTAGAAATTATATCTATCTGTATACATGCACGCACCACCTATCTCATAATCAATACATTAATACTATTGGTACACTTGAGACGAATAGATTACGAGCACGCATGTCAATTTCTAAATAAAACTATGAATGAATTTTCATTCTGTTTTGATCTCCATAGTCTTCAAAATTAGAAAGAAAAATTCTCAGGATTTGAATAAGGCAGCTTGCTGTCATTTTTTTCTGCGAAGTGTAGTCTGCAGCAAAATAATGTTAGATGGGTTATATCTACAACCCAAAACTAGTTTTACTTTAACCTTAATGCAGAAAGATGAAATATCTACAAGCCAAATCATTACCTTATTCAGGAGCTTGCATTGTTCTTGCTGTTCAGTGTGGCATTTTCGCCACTGGAACTGCAGACAGCCATTTAACCACTGCAGGTATCGGACATCCCTTTGGCCTTTCACATGAGATTTTGGAGCCAGGCTTTCTCCACCCTGCAGGCTTTTCAAAGGTGTATCACACTAAAATTGGAAGAAAGGAACAAAATCTTGAAAAAAAATGCTTTCCCCCAATACGTTTATCTTTAGACTAGGAATGGCTAAGCTTTTGGGATCAAAGAGCCACAGTCTGCCACCGCAACTCTTCTGGGGGGTGCAAACCAGCAGTTGGTATGCCCCCCCTCCCGCTTTCACATGCATGCTTTCACACAGCCACGGAGATGATTAGCATCACCACGCACAGCTTCTGCTTCTTCCTGTTGAGGCTGGGTGGGCAAAGCCACCGCCTCCTCTAGCACCCGGTGCCAAGAGGAAGGAGCCCCAGCCCCAGGAGGCACAGGGCAAATCTGCCACTCCTCTAGCGCCTGCCTGCTTGTGCTAAGGCGGTCGAGGCAGCCCCACGAATGCAAGGCAGCTCTCATCATTGTGCACAGATGCAGAATTAATTCTTCTGGCTTTAATAGATTTATTGAAAGTAAGTTCATGCTTTCACACGACCGATGTTTTATATTTGCAAATATGTTTTTCTGCTATACTGACTTTCATTCTGATATTTTGTGTTAATCAAGTTGCTGTTTTCTGTGAGCCACTTTAGGTTTCCCTCAGGAAAGACAATCAGAATATAAGAAACCAATGAAATGAAAATGAATTATTATTCTTGATCATTGCAAGTGGCAGCCTTTTTCTGCTCAAGAGTGGAGTAAAATGTTTTTAGTAAATAAAAAAACAAAAGATTCAGGAGATTCAGAGAACTTTCTAAACCTTAGAAGAAAAGGCAGAGAATAGTGATCGCAACAAAGCAAAGCAATTCTCACAGCAGCCATATTGCTAGGGAGCATTTTGAATCCATTTAAAGAAGCGGGAAATATGAATGTCCTCCCCATAAAGTCCACAACCAGGACAACTAAGTTATTGGACTCAGGCAGAGATGGGAGACGAGGAGCGGGGGCGGGGGGGAAAGCCAGCTGAATCACCCACCAGCACAGTGATCACATGAACAAGGCTGGCACAAAAGCTAATAAATCTTTTGCAAACCTTTTAAAAATCATTCTGAGTTCTTGAGGGTGCAATGAGCCAGTAAACTGAGGAAGGACCTGTGCCCTTGTTCTCTTAGCTACTCCAAACCCCATTGTGTTGCAGAACACATTGCCTGTAGATTCTGCATGATGCTGCAAACTCTCAAAGAGCCCCATTGGAGTCATACTTGTGGCACAATTACACTATCTTGGGGAGCATCAAATATTTATATTTCAATCATTTTTAACATAACCAGCAAGCTGGGAAAATGTGTTCTGCAAGAAAAAGCAAGTGCAAGATGCCTCTGCATTGCTGCAAGTGTAAAACATTGCTCAATGGAACAATTTTCCTATTGAAAAGACTTTCCACTATAACTGTGCTGCCACCTGTTGGCAATTTAAACAGCACTTACAGAAGTGGGTTGTGGAACAAGGTGCAAAGTTCAAGAAATCCATTTTGCAGGCAACCAAGAGATATATTAATAACTCAATTCTGAGGCTACTGCAGCAGTAGTATATTTAAAACCAGGCATTACTATACAACAAGCTCCAGCTTTGGTCTCTGGTGTCTAATTTTTACAGTTTTTATGTCCCCCCCCCCCCATGTAAACTGCCTCATGAGGGCTTCCTCTAAAACAAGGGTGGGTTACCTCTAGATCTGGTCCATGGCCTCCCCTCTTCAGACCTGCTTCTCCATGGCAAATGGAAATGTGCCTGGCCCCAGCTCCCACAAAGTCCAAGTAGACTTTGAAATTAAATATGTTTCTTCTGTAATGTTTTTAACTGATTCTACTTTGGTTTTATTTTTAAGTGGCAGACTGTCCTGAATAAAGTTTCTAAAAAATAGTGGGATACTAATTATTAATAAAAATAGATTTTTGCAGAAGTTAACTTATCCGGTATCAGTTCACAATGAATACAACTGTTTCCTTTAACATTACTCTCGCAGTCTGTTGGCAAATCTATCCTACCAATAACCCAGTTTGATAAATTACAGAAGTAAGACAGAACACAAACACATACCTGTCAGCTGCTCCACTACAACGTGACCCCAAAATCACAGAAGATGCTAAGAGAAGACTGACAACAGTTGCAGAAAATGCAACAATGAAAAGAATTGCGGCGCACAACTAATATGTTTCCTGATGTCTTTCAGGAAAGCTTTGATACTTAATGCTTCTTGTTAAAAATAGATCAAGACCACTTTTGTAATTCAGCTCACCTAAGCAGACGAAAATGTAATGTATCCAACAAGGTACACATCAGATTATTCCTGAAACCAGGAATTAAATATATTCCTCAAAATGCATTGGAAACCACATCTACTGTATAAGAGTCTTTTCTTAAACCAGCACTGCCATTTTCACGAAACAAGCAACAGAAACAAAACTGCAATACACATTCATGTCCAGCCCCACCCTCCAATATCTTGTTCCTAGTTAAAAAAAAAAGGATACCTGAAAATTATTAACAAAAAAATTACTCACCATGCAAACAGTTGCTTCATCCCAAAGTTTCACTCTATTTAGGGCCAATAACTGCTCCATTAAGCTAATTTTGCATAGAAACCAGGAAAATACCAACAGTAGTTCTCTGCTTCCCTCTGAACCATCAGGGGGAAGCTGATAAAATTCTGGTCTTCTGTAGCCAAGGCTCAACGCTACACTTCTGACGAATCTGACTTGGGTACCTAGGAAGCAGGTGATGATTATTATTAATAGTACAGTGGTACCTCGGGTTAAGTACTTAATTCGTTCCGGAGATCCGTTCTTAACCTGAAACTGTTCTTAACCTGATCCACCACTTTAGCTAATGGGGCCTCCTGCTGCTGCTGTGCCGTTGCTGTGTGATTTCTGTTCTCATCCTGAAGCAAATTTCTTAACCCGAGGTACTATTTCTGGGTTAGTGGAGTCTGTAACCTGAAGCGTCTGTAACCTGAAGCGTCTGTAACCTGAGGTACCACTGTAGTACTCTGCCCATTTAATAACTGGGTTGCCTCAGCCACTCTGGGTGCCTTCCAACATACATAAAAACATTATAAAAAACATTGCGGATTAAAAAGCTTTCCTATAAAGGGAAGGCAGATAAGGCAGCAGTTGTCACTTTCCACAATTTTAAAATCAACTGTGTCCTGGGGGAACAAAGCTCCAGAACAAATTCACACGGCAGGTGGGCTATGCAAATAACAGCAATGCAACCTTCCCCTCTAACTTCCTACAGCAAGTTCAGTGGTTGCTTTCAAAGCATGGAATACTCTCCCCGAGGGAGTTTCTGTTGATTATGTGAATGCCCTTTTGGTGCCAGGCCAGAAGCCTTTAATTTCCCAAGACATTGAAACAGCTGAGGAGATTGCAGACTTGGTTATAGCTAGGAGATATTTTTACTCTCCTGTTTTACTAATTGTGTCTCTTTCCTAATGTGGCTGTTCTACTTTGTTTTTTTTTTTAATGGAAATATCTATTAAACAAATAAAGTTCTGTATTATGCATACACTTATCACTAATTTTTGACAAAAAATTAATATTTTCCCAGATTAATAGTAATTTGCTACCTGTGTCAGCAGGCTCCATCCATCCTCCACCTTGGAATTGCTTCAGAAGAGAATACAGTAGTTTCCAGAATACTACAGTCTGTTTAAGGAGGACAACAGCACTAAAACATTTGCTGTATTGTTTACAATGCAATTCAACTGGGTGAAAGAAATCCACTAATCCCCCTTCCGCAACACACACCCACACCCAAACCCAAGCTTCCTTCTGATGGTTCAGAGGGGAGTAGAATACCACAGTGGGTGGTATTCAACTTCAGTTTTAAACCTACTGAAAGCAATGGTGTTAACTTATTCATTCATTTCCATGGGTCTGCTCTAAGTAAAAGTTAAGCTGAAAACCACTCAGTTCTTTTAGTCAATTTTAGGTGGTTTCATTTTTCAAAAAGTAACGTGTCAAGAGAAATTGGGATTACAAGTTGCAAAACCTAGAGGCCACAGTGGAACTTGAAGAGTGCAGGTTCTGCTCTGCTGTCCCCACAAACTGGGGGGTGGGGTGGGGGGAGGAAGCAAGGCTGCCTTCCTTAAGGATGCCAACCACTCATAAAACATTAAACCAACAGAATGCAATTCTCATGAGCGAGTAACCTTAGCTGATAAGGAACACACGCAGGTCACAGAATGGAGCACTCCAGGCAGGCCTGAGCTGCGTATCTCCCCCAATGTTGACCCCCCCCCCAACAAACCTAACCACCATATGTAAGGATCACAAGACAAATGCAGATGGCTCTAGAACAGAGCTTCCCAAACTTTTCACGTTGGTGTCACACTTTGTAGACATGTATCATTTTGTGACACAGTAATTCAGTTTTGCAGGCTGGTTAAACTAACGCTAACCCTTTTCCAGCCCTGGGAGGAGCGTTCACATCACACCTACACACTGCAGCCGGCACACTAATGTGTCGCTACACAGTTTGGAAAGCTCTGCTATAGAAACTGTGCAGTTGTGACCAATTCAGTGGGACTTCACTCCTTATAAATGTGCTTAGGACTGAAGCCGAACCTTACAGCAATGGGCCTTAATAGCTCTGGAAGCCTTCCCCCCACCCCCACAATCTAGCTCAGCCACAAATGAAAGGAGCAAAGCTTTCCTAAGAGGAGGGGATATCTCTTATGCAAACACTTGGGCTGGGCCCTCCTCCTTTTCATGAACTGACATCTAAAGGGCTACACAGTGCTGCTTTTGCTTAAGTTACCTACATTTTATATATAGTTTTTTTTTAATTAAAGTTTTAATTCTATTAATGTCCAACTGATTGCCAATCTGCTGGGGGTCCGAGTTGAAGGCGCATATGAGGCTCTTAACAACGAACTCGGGTCCACTTTGCCCACGAGATCGCCTTTGGGGGGCGTGGACGGGCCCTTTCTACCGGGGGAATAGCAACCCGACTACAGGCGCCACATAAGGTAAAGGGACCCCTGACCATTAGGTCCAGTCGTGGCCGACTCTGGGGTTGCGGCGCTCATCTCGCTTTATTGGCCAAGGGAGCCAGCGTACAGCTTCCGGGTCATGTGGCCGGCATGACTAAGCCGCTTCTGGCGTACCAGAGCAGTGCACAGAAACGCCATTTACCTTCCCGCTGGAGTGCTACCTATTTATCTACTTGCACTTTGAGGTGCTTTCGAACTGCTAGGTCGGTAGGAGCAGGGACCGAGCAACGGGAGCTCGCCCCGTCGCGGGGATTCGAAATCACCCCCACCTATTTCTCCACGGAGCGCGGTGGCGCCCACCCTGCGGAACTCCCTGCCTCTTGAGAACAGGCCGGCGCCTTCCTTCTGCCGCGCTCGCTTCGGCCCCGGGCGCTCGGAAACGCCATGGGGCACTTAAAACTTTTTGTGAGGCGATGCCTATGTCTCCGTTTTTTTAAACCTTTCTCCCGTTTCCCCCCTGCCAACCGCTTCGAGGTTCCTGCTGCTTTTCTGGGGTGTTTCGCGAAACAAAGGCGTGAGGCTGAGCGGGGCTGAGGGATCCCGCCAGGCCGCCCGCCCTCACAGACAGGCCGCTCGCGCGCCTTCCACCCACCGCATGGGGCCGGCCGAGCTTGGCGAGGCGGAAGGCCTCCGGGGGGACGCGGGGCCCGGGCAAGGCAGAGCCGAGAGCCCCCACGGCCGCCGGGAGACGCGAGGCGGACGCCGCCCGCGCAGCCATCGCCCTCAGCGCCGCTTCCCTTTCGCGCCTCTCGCTCAAAGCGAGGCGCGGAGCTCACTGCGCATGGGCAGAGAGGCGCGGGCGCATGCGCGGCAAGAGCCCTCCCGACTCCTTCCCCGGCGCCCCTTTACCCTCTTCACTTGCTCCTCCTCGCGCCTGTCACGCAAAGCGAGGAGCGGAGCTCACTGCGCATGACAGGAAGCGCGAGCGCCCACGGCGGGCGCATGCGCAACAGGGGGACCTTCCGACACCTTCCTTCCCGCCCTTCTCCCCTACTCGTCTTCGCGCCTCGAAGCTCACTGCGCATGGCAGGGAGCATGCGCATGCGCGGCGGAGGCCCTCCGACGCTAACCAGCGCTAGGGCCGCGGAAAGAGAGCAGGAGTTTACGGGGCGAGTGCGGAGAGTGGGCTGTGGCCTGCAGGGGGCGCTCTTCGGATGGAGGGCGCTCCACAAATTTAAAAAATATGTATACTGTATACAGTATATGATGATTTATGGGGTGATCTTGGCTTAGGGAGTTGGGCAATGTCAAGAGTCTTTAAATTGTTAAAGATATATTGTTAGAAGAAGTATACATGTAAAAATCAATAAAAATTATTTTTTTAAAAAATTAAAATATAGGTTCCTGCACACTTTTGTTCAGGATCTGTCCCTCCTTGCAAGGAGGGGAGCGAACTCTGTTGCAACAGAAAAAGAAGTTTCTGCCTTGCTTTCCACTGGATCCTGCCTCCATCTATTCTTCTCTGACCGATCATGGACTCAGGAGGTGCAGAGTCCAATGGGGAGTTGGGCAGCAAAAGCTAAACCCCAATTTTTACATCAGAGGCATACGAAAAAGGGCCTCAGAAGATGATCTCAGGGTCCAGGTAGCTTCATATGGAAAGAGGCGGTCCTTGAGGTATTGCGGCCCTGAGCCATATATAGGTCAAACCCAGCACTTTGAACTGGGCCCGGAAACTAATTGGTAGCGGGTGCAGTCAGACCAGGACCAGTATAATATGCTCAAAACCGTCTTGCAACCGTGAGCAACCTGGCTGCTGAATTCTGCACCAGATGAAGTTTCCAGTCTTCAAAGACAGTTGCAGATATAATACCACACGTGGAGGCAAACATAGGGTTGTGTTATTGGGTTGCTGTTTTTAATTTGATTACACACACACACACACACACAGTGGTTTTAATATTGATCTTTTCTGTGAACCGCCCTGAGACCTCCAGGTATAGGGCAATATAGAAAAATAGCTGTCAACGTTTCCCTTTTTAAAAAAGCTATATATAGAAAGAGAGGGAAAGCTGCGCAACGCCTCTCCAGCGAAGCACACCGATCCCTCTTGCTCTCCTGGCTTCAGCGAAAGCTGCGCAGCCTGCATTTGCTCCATAGGATGCACACACATTTCCCCTTACTTTTCAGGAGGGGAAAAGTGTGTCTTATAGAGTGAAAAATACGGTAGTTGTTTCCCTACTGCAGAACTAACAGGCTGCAAACTCCAAGATGCTCTCTGTAACCAGGCTCCACATCCTCGCCCAAACCACCTGTCACTACCTGGCTCCATCCCTGTTACAGCAGCTGCACCCAGGCACCCCCTTCTAGCTCCTATGTTGTGGCTCCTATGCAGGAGAGCCAGCAACCCTAAAACAAATGGCAAGGAGGACAGGTCTAGAGGAAACACCAACAAATGCAGCAGGTCAGCTTTGGGGAGGAAAGAGCTCCTCACAGGGACACTGGAAGCAGTCTCCTGCCCTCTGTGCTCCATCTCAAGCCAACAGCAGGCAAGAATGAACTGGCAGTGGGTGAGCCATCTTTCCAAGTGGCATCCTCCATTTTGGCTTGGCAGGGCAGACATGGACAGAGTCTGCTGTCCACCAATACATGTCTGAAGAACAGCAACAATATCTATCGCTCACTAAGAATCAGCATAAAATTTCAAATTGATTCTGCTGTGTGAGAGCAGCTATGTGGAAACTCAGGTAGGCCGATGCCATGGCAATACTTAAAACTATGTCAGAGGCAACGTGCGTTTGAGAACCAGTTGGCGGGAGAGCGCTGATCCAGTCACGGGCTCCGTGTGGGCTTTTCAGAGGCATTGGGTTGGCCACTCTGAGAACAGAATTGTTGGACTAGATCTGCTCATCTTATGTTCTTAAGCATACAATTCCACGGGGCATGGTCACCCCGGCAGGTCTTCCACACCCCTCTGCCAAGCATCACCAACTCGTGTGCCTCCTCCTTGAGAGGTCCGGAGGGTGGCAGCACGAGAACAGGGCCTTCTCTGCAGTGGCCCCCCCGTCTGTGGAATGCTCTCCCCAGGGAAGTTTGCCTGGCGCCTTCATTATACACTGTTAGGTGCTAGGCAAAAGCGTTCCTTTTTAACCAGGCCTTTGGTTGACCTGATCCTATGCCCTTTTAAAACGTGGATTGGTTTTTTTGGGGGGGTGTTATTGGGTTATTGTTTTTATTTTGAATTTATATACCGTATTTTTCGCTCTGTAAGACGCACCAGACCATAAGACACACCTAGTTTTTGGAGGAGGAAAACAAGAAAAAAAATATTCTGAATCTCAGAAGCCAGAACAACAAGAGGGATCGCTGTGCAGCGAAAGCAGCGATGCCTCTTGCTGTTCTGGCTTCTGGGATAGCTGCGCAGCCTGCCTTCGCTCCATAAGACGCACACACATTCCCCCTTACTTTTTAGGAGGGAAAAAGTGAGTCTTATAGAGCAAAAAATACGGTATATATGATCTTTTCTGTGAATTGCCCTGAGAACTATGGGTACAGGGCGGTATATTAATTCAATAAATAATAATAATAAAAAAGATAACCAGTTTTTACCACGTGCTGCCTGTGAAGGCCTAGAGCTCTTGGCCACAGGAAAGTCTCTGGCGTGGAGAGGAATAAGGCTTACAAACAGATCATACCAAGAATGAAGGGAAAGAGAGCAGTTATGGTTAATGTTGGCTTTTATTTGATTTTTTTAATAATTAAAATATAATTGCATTATTGAAAGATTTAAAGGCTTCCCAGGAAACCATAGAGGAGGTGTCATCTAGTGATCGCACACCCAGCCAAGATGCACCAAAGCAGAGCAAACGGTGGTCCCTGCCAATCCGAGAAGTGCCAAAGAGCCAAGGACTCCTCGGTTTCGTTTCTTGGGATCTGTAAGGAAAAGGTGAGGTTCACACGACTCACTCTCGGAATGAGAAGCAAGGTGAGCAGCTGATATCCCAGCTTCACTTGTTACAAGAAGCCTGTCTTTTCAGCTACCCAGCCAGAGCGTCAGAACTTTCAAAGCGCGCAGGATGGCAAAAGGGCAGTTGGCGTGCACAGTATACAGTCATACCTCAGGTTACAGCCGCTTCAGATTGGGTTTTTTCGGGTTGCGGACCACCGAAACCCGGAAGTACCAGAATGGGTTACTTCCGGGTTTTGGCAGTCACACATGTGCAGAAGTGCTAAATCACGCTTTGCGCATGCGCAGAAGCGCCAAATCGCAACCCGTATGTGCGCAGACGCGGGTTGCGAATGTGCATCCCGCACAGATCACATTCGCAACCCGAGCGTCCACTGCACTGCGATCTACCTAGGATAAATTTCTCAGTGGTTGTTTTGTACCTCTAAAACAGGCACAGGCAAACTTGGCCCTTCAGATGTTTTGGGACTACAACTCCCATCATCCCTAGCCAACAGGACCAGTGGTCAGAGATGATAGGAATTGTAGCCTCAAAACATCTGGAGGGCTGAGTTTGCCTACGCCTGCTCTAAAACATGAGGTTTTAATTTTTTACCGTCCCCTTCAAGATACCCTATCAAAGGCAAGACACAGGCTTCAGTACAAAAAGTTAAAGAGGCTTTGGGGGCGAAATGTCAGCAGGACACACGTTCATGAACTACTATTTCTGCTTTCCTAGACTGCTCCTTCTCACACCTTCTAGAGAGGACCTCCATGCACACTGCCCAGGCTGGCACCCCAGAGAGGTCACTTTGGTACTGCTAATGCAGCAAAAACAATGTGGGGGGCAGCAGTTATGAGTTACCAGTCTCTGCAGCCCCAGCAGGCGCTGTGATTCTCCAGCCGTTTGACTTCACCCTGGAAGGTGCACTCCACTGCCTCTCAAGACAGATGGATGACAACAACCACAACAATGTATTTGTAAAATAATGTTGCACGCTGCCTTGATGTTACGCATGAGATGGTGGTCTATAAGCGTTTTGCAAATAAATAAATTTGAAAACAAAAACCAGCAACCTTGCTGATTCTAAGCGGGGAGAAGTCCGGTAGTTTTGAGATTTCAGGGTGTTTGGAGGGGGCGTGGCGTGTGTGCAACCTTGAGACCCCCTGTGTACATCATCTAGTGTTCCATATGTGAAATATTTATTTTATTGATTTCCCAAAATTTATACAGTGGTGCCTCGCAAGACGAAATTAATCCGTTCCACGAGTCTCTTCGTCTTGCGGTTTTTTCGTCTTGCGAAGCACGGATATTAGCGGCTTAGCGGCTATTAGCGGCTTAGCGGCTATTAACGGCTTAGAGGCTTTAAGAAAAAGGAAACAAACTCGCAAGAACTCGCAAGACGTTTTGTCTTGTGAAGCAAGCCCATAGGGAAATTCGTCTTGCGGAACGACTCAAAAAACGCAAAACCCTTTCGTCTAGTGAGTTTTTCGTCTTGCGAGGCATTCGTCTTGCGGGGCACCACTGTATTCTGCTTGATTGTAAAACAACCACCACCACCCCAAAGCGGTTTGCAAAAAAAAAAAAAGCAATGAAATTATCAGTGTGCTTCTCTACTCTTGAGTCAACACTTCAGTATGAGCTCCAGAGAATGTATGGGCTTTCTCTTTTTCTGGCAAAGGAGGATGGAGTTAAGGCATTGCATTGCATAAGCAGGGGTCAGCAAACTTTTTCAGCAGGGGGCCAGTCCACTGTCCCTCAGACCTTGTGGGGGGCCGGACTATATTTTGGGAAGAAAAAAAATGAACGAATTCCTATGCCCCACAAATAACCCAGAGATGCATTTTAAATAAAAGGGCACATTCTACTCATGTAAAAACACGCTGATTCCCGGACAGTCTGCGGGCTGGATTTGGAAGGCGATTGGGCCGGATCCGGCCCCCGGGCCTTAGTTTGCCTACCCATGGCATAATGGGATAAAATCCCACTACAGTGGTGCCCCGCAAGACGCATGCCTCACAAGACGAAAAACTCGCTAGACGAAAGGGTTTTGCGTTTTTTTAGTCGTTCCGCAAGACGAATTTCCCTATGGGCTTGCTTCGCAAGACGAAACGTCTTGCGAGTTCTTGCGAGTTTGTTTCCTTTTTCTTAAAGCCGCTGCCGCTAATCGCCGCTAAGCCGTACAGCCGCTAAGCCGTTAATAGCCGCTAAGCCGCTAATAGCCGTGCTTCGCAAGACGAAAAAACCGCAAGACAAAGAGACTCGCGGAACGGATTAATTTCGTCTTGCGAGGCACCACTGTATTTTCATTCTAAACATAGCTTCCTACTCTTATGGGGGGGGGGAAGCATAAGATAGACCCTTCCTCTTGATTCCCAACTATTTGCTCTGGTTTCCAAGCTCTTGCACAGTGCATGGAAGAGTTTGGCAACAGATCCAACTGGGAATCCAAGGAAAACTGTCCAATCGGAGCAGCTCTGCAGGCGACGAATGGATTGCGTTTAACCAGCCCCATAAACCCACCTCCTGTGTAGTAGCCATAAGCATAAAGCAGTCTTCCGATGATCCAAGATGCACCAAGTCCTGTAGCAACCCGCTGGGGGGAAAAGCAGAAATAGTCACTGCTCACTGAGAGGACTGGTGCTGATATGAATGTGCAACAGGGAAGAGGAGATCAGCTTCCATTTTGTCCCCAGTTTGGTTTTAACATCTATATGACTTTTAGAAGACATCTGAAGGCAGCCCTGTTTAGGGAAGCTTTTAATATTTGATACATTACTGTATTTTAATATTTTGTTGGAGGCCACCCAGAGTGGCTGGGGAATTAATAATAATAATAATAATAATAATTATAGAACAACAGGGGGCAGTCACTAGAGGTTTTGGAGGGAGTGGTCAGCAGTATGATGACACAGAGTTGTTCCGACAGTGGAACGGACTCCCCTCAGATGGCTGTGGATTCTCCTTCCTTGGAGGTATTTAAGCGGAGGTTGGATGGCCATCTGTCATGGATGCTTTAGTTGAGATCCCTGCATTGCAAGGGGTTGGACTGGATGACCCTTGGGGTCCCTTGCAACAATTCTATGGCAACGTTTGAATCAGGAGCAGCTGCCTGGACACTGTGGAGTGCAGAACGGGAACCAATAAGTGGCGTTTCAGTCCTGAGAAGGCAGAGACCCAGTTAAGCAGGGGTTCCCGTGTCCAGGAAATTGTTCTGGACTTGATTACACTCTCCTGTAAAGGAGTTTTGGGGTCCTCCTTGGATTTGATATCCTGCTTTATCACTACCCTAAGCAGTCTCAAAGCGGCTAACAATCTTGTTTCCCTTCCTCCCCCACAACAAACACTCTGTGAGGTGAGTGAGGCAGAGAGATAATAATATAATAATAATTTATTATTTATACCCCACCCATCTGGCTGGGTTTCCCCAGCCACTCTGGGTGGCTTCCAACAGAACACTAAAATACAATAACCTATTAAACATTAAAATCTTCAGAGAGAAGTGTGACTAGCCCAAGGTCACCCAGCAGCTGCATGTGGAGGAGCGGGGAATCGAACCCGGTTCACCAGATTACGAGTCCACCACTCTTAACCACTACACCACACTGTATGGATGTTCCTGAGCTCTGCTCCAGAGAAACTTCAGTAGAGAATCAAGTACCTTGGGCTTCGCAGTCACACCCGGGCTTTGCTCCCACTGAGCAGGCTGGGGAAAAACAAACCCCCAAGTCTCTCATCTTGGTACTTACCGGGAAGTAGACTCCGCTCACTCCAAGAAAGAATAAGAAGGAGGAATACACTTCCAACCTGCAAGAACAGAGACAGGTGTGTGCGTTGTGGCTTTGTTTCTGTTTTTAAATGGCCTGGAATGAGCTCCCTCATTTGTGCCAGCTGGTGTCAGAGACCAGGACATCATTCTCACAAGAGAATGCAAGGAAGGCAGCAGATTTCACAGCTGTCCCGGAATAATTTGCACGCTTGCAATGATTCCTTCCTGTTACGGGAACGTCGGGCCTCTGGAGCTCTGTCAGGGTGCCATGGAGACAAAAACTGCTCTTCTGCACAATGTATCCCTTATTGCATCTTCCCCATTCCAACCTCTGGGATGTGCACACAGGAATTAAGAGGAGGTTCAGAGCAGAATATCAAGGATTGGTATATAAAGGGGAGAAAACGAAGGCCGAGGCAGGTACACAGTTGATGTGCAACGGTCCAAAGACAGGGACTCCCAACATATATTGAGGTAGGAATCGCATGCTCTCTCTCGGCAGGAAAGGTCAGCAAAATTTCGCTTCCACAAGCTGGAAATTTCCCTGGGATTCCGTAACCCACCTTCCTGGCTGTTGCATGAGCTCTGTGCTCCAGCAATGCAGATTTCTGAACTACCTGCCTCTGACAAGCCTTTTGCTGACAAACCACTGGCCGTAGCAAGACACTCGACAGTCAAAAGGCAATCTCAAGGGCTGACACACGGAGGAGGGAACAGGCTTGTTTTCTCCTGCTCTGGAGGGTAGAACTCGAACCCAGGGCTTCAAGTTACAAGAAAGGAGATTCCAGCTAAACACCAGGAAGAAGTATCTGATGGTAAGGGCCATTCGACTCCCTTGGAAGGTGTTGGGGTCTCCTTCCTTGGAGGTTTTTAAGCAGAGACTGGATGGCTATCTTTCAGGGATGCTTTTGTGAGATTCCTGCATTGCAGGAGGCCGGACAGGCGTTTAGAATATGGATTTCCTCAAGTGTTTTTATCACGGCTGCTACAGGCAGAATGGCAGGGATTGCTGCACTGAGAATGGTTTCCCAAAACAGCAGCAGCTGCAACACTCGAGGCATTAAAACACTTAAGAAACCAAAATTAAACTCCTTGTGCCAAGGGCTACTCACGTGTTCTGGTGCGCCCTCTGGATACAGTTGAAGAGATGTCCATTTTCAGGGTCTGTGCTGTACATGTTTGGGTACTTTTGAGGGAGGTTAGTGGGGGAAGGGGGAGAGAGAGAGAGAGAAAGAAAGGAAGAAAGTAAATGTCCACACCTCATCAACTGTGGAGTTGGAGGAGAAAAGTGTTGTTGTTGTTGTTGTTGTTGTTGTTGTAATTTATATACCGCCCTATAACCTTCCCCTATGGGGAAGCCCAGCCAGATTGGCGGGGTATAAATAAATAAATTATTATTATTATTATTATTATTATTATTATTATTATTACTACCCAGGGGATCTCAGGGCGGTTCACAGAATAAAATCAAAATATAAAACCACAAAATACATAATAAAAATAAAAAACAACAACCCAATAGCCCCCCACAAAAAAGCAACCCACATTTTAAAAGGGCATAGGATGTCAATCAGATCAGCCAAAGGCCTGGTTAAAAAGGAACATTTCTGCCTGGCGCCTAAAGGTGTATAATGAAGGCATCAGGCAAACCTCCCTGGGGAGAGCATTCCACAGATGGGGAGCCACCACAGAGAAGGCCCCGTTCTTGTGTTGCCACCCTTTGGGCCTCTCAAGGAGGCGGCACACGAAGGAGGGCCTCAGAAGATGATACCGGGGTCTGGGTAGGTTCGTATGGAAAGAGACAGTCCTTGAGGTACTGCAGTCCTGAGCCGTTTAAGTGTTCCACGTGCTACCTAGTGATCAATGTGTTACTCTATTCCCACACCCAATGGGCACACACAGAATGGAGCCATGGTAGCAACCGACTGATTGGGCTTCTGTTTTGCACTTTGCCGGAAACACACATTCATAGACATACCATGTCAGGTAGGTGAATTAAAACTTTGTGTCTGAGCGTGCTCCTTCTGTGCAAGACTTTCCTGTTGTTTCCCGCCATCTTTCCCTTGCCTTCTGCTACAAGCCTTCCCACCATGGCAGCAGAGGAAGAAACTCTCTTTTTTCCCAGACCCGGAAGCAGCCAAGCAAAAGTCAACAAAGGGTTCAGCAAACAGTAACAAGTGAGACAAGCCAGGTCACTCGCCACAAGGGGGAATAAGAGCCCAAACACAACAGCAGCAACCCTCCCCTCCCAAGTTGCTTCTTCTCCCTTTATGTTTGCCTGCAAAGTGCATTTCAAAGGCTCTTTGCAGGAGTTAACTAACACAGAAGTGAGAGTGCCAAGGGAGAGGAGTGGTAGGGACACGGCTTGCCAGTCTTGTGGCTGAAGTCCCCCACCCATCCCTGAGCCACGAGAAACCATTCACAAAGCCCGGCTCCAGCTGTTTTTAGAGGGGCTTATGACTCACCAACGCAGAGCAGAGCAGACACACCCTCTGGCCTCCTTCCTAACTGCGGCTCCAAAGCCTTCCAGGAAGAGGAGGGGAAGTTTTTCCTGTGCACAAATTGTCTCTAACAAGACTCCTCTGTTTTGGAGACCTCTGCAAAACGGCTCCCGAAGCGTTGCTAGCAGCTGAGAACCACAAAAGCCAGCAAGAGCGGTGATACAGCTCGTTCCCCCTGCGGCAGCTTTCAGATCAGAAACATTTGTGCAGCGCTGCCAACTGTGGGCGTTTGCAAAAGCCAACTCCCAAATTCCTTGCCCAAGTCCTCACAGATTAAAAAACCAGAGAGAGTTGGAAGCTATGATGTGAAGATCAAATCTACTGCCAAGGACACCCCGAGCCACCTTCAAGGCCTGCCTACATAATGCGTGCAAACACCAGAACTGGAACAGATTCATGGTCTAGCTAGGCAGTTTCCACCAACGGCCATCCAAGTGCTACTTGGGCGTTTGCAAGCAGGACATAAAGGGAAGAACCATCTCAGCGGTACACTGCCTTTGACTATGGAGGTTCCACGGAGGCCGCATGTCACCTGGCAGAAAGTAGCAATAGCTGCCTGCATTGTTCCATTTGCACATGGCTTACTCAAGAGCGCACCAAAGGAAGGGGGGAGGAATCCACCCACTTTCCAGCCAGCAAAGGGGGAAAATCCCACGCCACTGGCCATGAGGTCTGAAAAAAACATGGTTCCTTGAAAAAAGGAAGTACGGACCCCACAGGAAATACCGTATTTTTTGCTCTATAAGACTCACTTTTTCCCTCCTAAAAAGTAAGGGGAAATGTGTGTGCATCTTATGGAGCGAATGCAGGCTGCGCAGCTATCCCAGAAGCCAGAACAGCAAGAGGGATTGCTGCTTTCACTGTGCAGCGATCCCTCTAGCTGTTCTGGCTTCTGAGATTCAGAATATTTTTTTTCTTGTTTTCCTACTCCAAAAACTAGCTGCGTCTTGTGGTCTGGTGCGTCTTATAGAGCGAAAAATACGGTAAGCAGAATGATCAGATTATATTGGATATGCTGGGTCCGTACTCTTGTCTTCCCAGAGTCTTGATGAAGCATCCCTCCCCCAACTCACCTGAACATTGTATTTCTTGCGGGCTTTCCCCACATTGATGGCAAGGTGTGTTACCAAGATGAAACTGGCAGCACCGGTGAGAATCACATAGCCATATTCCTTCGAGAGAACCACCATCTTGGCACTGAGGAGAGGGGGAAAGGGGAAGGTTAGTTCAAGCCCAAGAATCAGAATCGCGCCCGCCCCGCCAAGAGACACAGGGCAGGCAAGCACCCATCACTCTGGTAGCAAGAGACAGACAACAGGTCACAGCGAGAAGCTTCCTGGCCCTGAGCACAATGGGAAAGGGATCCGAGAGTAATACAATGGAGCAGAGCAACAACATAGCAGGAGCCGGCTTCCAGTTCCATTGCTACCCTAACTCCAAGTAGAGAAATGATGCCAAAAGCCCTTGTTATGTCGGCACTGGGTGTAAGGGGTCGGAAGAACATACTGAAATGTATTGTAAACAGAACTATCTGTGCCTTTTTTTAAAAAAATTAAAATAATAATATTTATTAAGAGTTTAAAAGTTACAAAAAAAAAAGAAAAAGAGTTAAACAAAGCAAAGAAGCAAAAAGAAACAAGAAACAAAAAACAACACAATACAATGCAAGACAAATAAAACAAAACAAAGACCATGTTAAACAATTTCAATGTCACATCTTTCATTCGCTTATTTCCACGACTTCCTCACACCTCCCTTTTTGTATTCCACATCAATTAATTATTTCAGCAATTCCTTTCCATCTTCCTCTGTTTTCTATCCTATAATTATCTTAACACATTCTAACCTTATTTTATTCCCTTTAATGCTCAATTAATCGATTTATACTTAATTCCTTATAACATTTCTGCCAAAGCCATACAACTTCATTCCCACTTTGTTCTAACATTCATTAATTTTGCAATATTTCTATAAATAGTCTTTAAACTTCCAGTCTTCTTCCACCAGCTCTTCTCCCTGGTCTCGGATTCTGCCCAGAACTATCTGTGCCTTTAATCAACTTCTACTCAGTCTGCATTCCTCCCAAATTCGCTGACTCCAATCTTAATTTCAGAACGGGGGTGAGTTGCGTTCATCCACCTGGCATTATTTGCGTTTGGTGCAACCACCAAAGGGGTTAAGGGACGGAGTGGGGTTAAGAGACGAGCCTTGCTGATATTCTGGAGAGGGGAGAGCAGTGTCTGCATTGCAGGCCACATTCTCTGTTTCCTCCTCAATTAAAATGCACAAAGTTTTGGTGCAGATCTGCTGCATGTTCCTCCCAGGGCATATTCTGCTCTTTTGCTCTCCCTACACTGCTTGACTTCCATGTTGCTTGGAAGTAAGACCTGCAAAATTCAGTGGAATTTCCCCTCAGTAAGTAACTACAGTGGTACCTCTGGTTACGTACTTAATTCGTTCTGGAGGTCTGTTCTTAACCTGAAACTGTTCTTAACCTGAAGCACCACTTTAGCTAATGGGGCCTCCTGCTGCCACTGCGCCGCCGCTGCACGATTTCTGTTCTTATCCTGAAGCAAAGTTCTTAACCCAAGGTAATATTTCTGGCTTAGTAGAGTCTGTAACCTGAAGCGTATGTAACCCGAGGTACCACTGTATAGGATTGTAGCCCCAGGCAGTTCACATCAATTTGGGCAATGGCCTATACCTATTTCTTTATCCCCCTTTTCTTGTAGTAATTTCAGTTCCTTCTTTCAGCTGTAAAATGGCAAATGTGGCTTATTGTTTAAGAATAATTAAAGCAACGCAACAAGCAATGCAAATATAATGAAACAGCAAGTAACAACAGGGCCTTTTCTGTGGTGGTGCCTCTGCTACTGAGCTCCCTCCCTCCTGAGATTTATCGATGCTGCTGTCGGCCATTTTTCTGACCCCCATGAAAAACATGTTTATTTCTCTACTATTACAGCTAGAGCCATCAACATTACTGTTGAGGAGTCAGAAATGAGAGACAGGACTATTTTTCCAGAGGCCAACAATCTTATCTCTCCTCCATAAACAAGCCCCATGAGGGCAATGTCTGATTTTAGTGGCTGTTAATAAAATTAATGTGCCCCCAAATGCCCCTGACTCTAGATTATTGTGTCAGTCTGCGCATGTTCAGATCAGACAGCCTTTGCAATAAGTCCTTGCAGGATCAAGAAATGAAGAGCTGCTGTTGCAGCACATCCATGCGCCAGGGTGCAAGCACAGTTTCAAACTACTGGCATGTTTCCCCCTGGCATTCTCTATCTCCAAATGCCTGCATCAAACACGCCGGATACTCCACTCTGTCTTAAACAACCACCTCAGATCTCCGGGTATCTGCCAAACTTATCATAGAGTTGGAAGAGACCACAAGGGCCATCGAGTCCAACCCCCTGCCAAGCAGGAAACACCATCAGAGCACTCCTGACATATGGTTGTCAAGCCTCTGCTTAAAGACCTCCAAAGAAGGAGACTCCACCACACTCCTTGGCAGCAAATTCCACTGTCAAACAGCTCTTACTGTCAGGAAGTTCTTCCTAATGTTTAGGTGGAATCTCCTTTCTTGTAGTTTGGATCCATTGCTCCGTGTCCGCTTCTCTGGAGCAGCAGAAAACAACCTTTCTCCCTCCTCTATGTGACATCCTTTTATATATTTGAACATTGCCTATGAAGTTGAAATCTATACACTCAAGGGAGGCTTTTCGCAAGCAACACCCGCCTCCCACAACAGCAAAAATCCTAGGCTGAAAACCCCAGCGATGCACCCAGAGGAACCGCCTGAGCCTGAAGTGTAGGAAAGGAGGAAGACAAAGATCAAAGGATGCCAGGAGGCAGCTATAAAGTGCTCTAGGGCAGAGGCTGGCTTTTTGCAGGATTTTCCCTCTACTATGTTCTCAGTGACAAAGGAAATTGCACTTCGTGCGGCAGCCAAGTCTGGGCAAAGTTGAGGGCCCAGGGACTTGAAGGCCTGGTCCGGAAGAAAAAGCAACAGCGAGCGAGTTCACCTTGTGTAAAGTTGCCCCACCTAGAGCCGTTAAGGTGTAAAGTCCAAACACACAGGGGCGGCTTATCTGCAACCTGATGTCCTTTCACCCCAGCAAGTTAAACTGTACAACTGCCTTGCCCACCTCCCTTGCAAGGCTCAGTCATCCAGAGCAGGTTGCAGCCGGTGTGATTTGCTGGAGGAGACTCTTGAGAGACCCATGGACAGCAAGAAGATCAAACCTCTCCATTCTTAAGGAAATCAGCCCTTCACGATAGATCGTGAAGCTGAGGCTCCAATACTTTGGCCACCTCATGAGAAGAGAAGACTCCCTGGAAAAGACCCTGATGTTGGGAAAGATGGAGGGCACTAGGAAAAGAGGACGAGATGGTTGGACAGTGTTCTCGAAGCTACCAGCATGAGTTTGACCAAACTGCGGGAGGCAGTGGAAGACAGGAGTGCCTGGCGTGCTCTGGTCCATGTGTCACGAAGAGGTGGACACGACTAAACAGCAACAACAACAACATATCAGGTCAAGCCCACACTTCATTCCAGAGGCGTCCGCTTGCCACCAAGGGAGCAAGTCCCTCCACTGAGTCAACTGCTTGTGTGAAAAGCCGAGCATGTGGTTTCGGAGAATGGTAACAGGACTAGGAAATCGCAAACCAGTTGCTGCCCAACATGCTTCATATGGGGCAAAATTATGCAAGGGAACTGACTCGCGGCCAATGCGCTACTCTAACAGCCCTTGCTCATTCCACGAGGCTGAAAGTCAGCTGTTTCTGTTGAAGGACGCCCCCCCCCCAGGCAACATGGGGCTGGTCCTGCCCTCCAGCTTCCTCCCAGTCCTGGACAAAAGCCCCATCTTCTGGCATGTTGAGCTCAATCGGTGAGAGCGTGGCGCTAAGAACGCCAAGGTTGCAGGTTCGATCCCCGCATGGGACAGCTGCATACTCCTGCCATTGCAGGGGGTTGGACTAGATGATGCCCAGGGCCCCCTTACACCCCTAAGATCTCTATGCTATTTGATCACAAGCCCTGCCGTTTTCAAGCCTCGCCACAATCTCAGTCCAACCGGCAGCTGCTTGCAGCCGGCAGGATTCGCACTCGAGATCCGGGAGCCACCAGCAGCCGCTTCGCCGCCGCCGGGGTAGGGAGCCGCCCGCGAAGGGCAAAAGCGCCCCGGCGGACGGGGCGGGAGGAACTTGGCCCGCGACGCCCGAGCTCAGCCAGGGGCCACCGGGCCCAAGAGCCGGGGAAAGGGCCGAGCAGGGCGCACGGTTGCGGGAAGCTCTGCCCGGCTCCGAAGACCCCCGTCCTCCCGTCCGCCCGCCCCGTCGACCCGGACTCACCACCGTCGCCGCCGCCCAGCAAGTGCACGCCGAGAAACGCAGCGCCGCCCTGGGCCGAGAGGGAAGGGTTGCCCGCGAAGCCCAGCCCACGTCGGGGCGGATCCAGCCGAGGGCGCGGCTGCTCCGAAACGCGGAGCGCGCAAGAGCGCTCTCCAATGGAGAGAGGAAAGTTTGAGTACATCTCTCTCTCTCTGTGAACATTAGCATTGCCTAGTTAGGTCTAGTTAGGCCTAGTATAAATAAAATTTAATAATGGTTTTTAAAAAAGCATTGCCTAGTTAGCCTTTTTTTTAAAATATATATATATATATTATGTTTTTCAGGTTTATGTTGTTGTTTAGGCGTTTAGTCGTGTCCCACTCTTCGTGACCCCATGGACCAGAGCACACCAGGCACTCCTGTCTTCCACTGCCTCCCGCAGTTTGGTCAGACTCATGTTTGTAGCTTCGAGAACACTGTCCAACCATCTCATTCTCTGTCGTCCCCTTCTTCTTGTGCCCTCCATCTTTCCCAACATCAGGTCTTTTCCAGGGAGTCTTTTCTTCTCGTGAGGTTGCCAAAGTATTGGAGCCTCAGCTTCAGGATCTGTCCTTCCAGTGAGCACTCAGGGCTGATTTCCTTCAGAATGGATAGGTTTGATCTTCTTGCTGTCCATGGGACTCTCAAGAGTCTCCTCCAGCACCATAATTCAAAAGCATCAATTCTTCGGCAATCAGCGATCTTTAATGGTCCAGCTCTCACTTCCATATATCACTACTGGAAAAACCATGGCTTTAACTATACGGACCTTTGTTGGCAAGGTGATGTCTCTGCTTTTTAAGATGCTGTCTAGGTTTGTCATTGCTTTTCTCCCAAGAAGCAGGCGTCTTTTAATTTCGTGGCTGCTGTCACCATCTGCAGTGATCATGGAGCCCAAGAAAGTAAAATCTCTCACTGCCTCCATTTCTTCCCCTTCTGTTTGCCAGGAGGTGATGGGACCAGTGGCCATGATCTTCGTTTCTCTAACTTTCATAGCTGTCAACTTTCAGATTTGAAAATAAGGGATCAGCAGCCTCACCTGTCCCAGGACAGTCTACGGGATAGCTAACAATCTGGGATAGCAGCGGGAAGCAGCGGGAAACGGCGCTGGAATAAGGGAATTTCCCGCAAAAAAGGGAAGGTTGACAGCTATGCTATGCTAACTTTACAATCCTTTTGACATTTAAAACTCAACTTCCTTCCCCCACTTTCTGCGGTTCCTTAAATTTACAGTGGTACCTCTGGTTGCAAACGGGATCCGTTCCGGAGGCCCGTTCGCAACCTGAAAAGAACACAACCCTCGCCTGTGTGTTTGTGCACGCGCAGGTCACAATTCGCTGCTTCTGCGCATGCATGTGACGTCATTTTGCGCGTGTGCGCAAGCGGCGAAACCTGGAAGTAACCTGTTCCATTACTTCTAGGTCGCCGCGGGACGCAACCTGAAAACGTGCAACGTGAGGCAAACGTAACATGAGGTATGACTGTATCTTCTTTTGCACATCCAAATTAACTTAATTTGCTCATTCATCTATTTTAAATAGGTACTGTTATGAAACTGCCGGTTATTACAATAATCCTGCCAATGTTCTTATCTGTTTACAGTTTGTAAATATTCAAGGAACCATTTCCATTCTTTTATAAAGTTTATTATCTTGATTTCTTATTCTTCCAGTCAGTTTCACCATTTCTGCATATTCCATATGTTTTTGTATCCATTCTTCCTTTGCTGGGACTTCCACTGGCGTGCTTTCGAACCCCGTCACTTGAACTGCCAACCTTCTGATTGGCAAAACCCAGAGGCTCAGCGGTTTTAGACCACAGCGCCACCTGCATCCCTTATGTATCCTGCACTTCAGGGCGGTCCAACTTCGCATACCACAAAGTGAGCTGCGAGAGTATTTTGAGACACAGCCCACAGTAGGGTTACCAGACGTCCCCGGTTCTCGGGGACAGTCCCCAGATTTGCAAATCTTTCCCTGGTGAACGTGGCAGTGACAGCCTCAGCAGCCCAGAGCCTGCCTGGTAGCACAGTGGGCTCTGGCTGGCTTCAGGAGCTGCTCACTGTCGTGGTGCCCACCATTTTTCCTCTCCAGAAGTCCCCATATGATGTGTCTTGTGCAATCTCCTGCCCCCTGCCCCCTTCTCCCTTTGTTTTGACTGATTGGGGGAGGCTCGGGAGTCGCGGGTGGGTGGCCTTTGCCCAGTTTTTTTAAAACTCTGTGCATTTGTGTTTCACAGGGTGCGAAAGAAGGGCTTTGCACCTTTATACAATATGCATGTGTGCTTGGGCCCAGGGTCTTTTGCCTCACCATCCCCACTACTGACTCCCTGTTGCCACTCAGCTTCCAAAAAAGAAGAAGAAGAAGAAAAGAAGTGTCCCTGGATTCACTGAAAAAAATCTGGTAACCATAACCTACAGGGACGCAGGTGGTGCTGTGGGTTAAACCACAGAGCCTAGGACTTGCCAATCAGAAGGTCGGTGGTTCGAATCCCCGCGACGGGGTGAGCTCCCGTTGCTCGGTCCCTGCTCCTGCCAACCTAGCAGTTCGAAAGCACCTCAAAGTGCAAGTAGATAAATAGGTACCGCTCCGGCGGGAAGGTAAACGCCGTTTCTGTGTGCTGCTCTAGTTCGCCAGAAGCGGCTTTGTCATGCTGGCCACATGACCTGGAAGCTGTATGCCAGCTCCCTCGGCCAATAAAGCGAGATGAGCACTGCAACCCCAGAGTCGGTCACGACTGGACCTAATAGTCAGGGGTCCCTTTACCTTTATCTTTTACCATGCCAATGTTGGCTGTGTTTGGAAGAGTTATTACTGAACCTGATTACAGATCTAGTCGGGCTCTTTCAACTGTACTTATATTACCACTTCTATTTCTCTTCTTTGCATCTGTGTGGAGGTTCTGCCTTGGTTGTTTTTTTGTTTGTTTATGTTATCTTGTTTTTTTATAAAAAATATTTAGTTATTTACAACCTTTTTATGCTGCCCAATAACAAAGCTCCCTGGACAACTAATATAACAATAAAAACTTGAAAATACAATGAAAGTCTCTTGCATTAATGTGGCTGTGTCCTTTGTGAATTTGTACTATATACTGACATTTAAAAGCACACATTGAACAGCCTTGGGAATTATATATATGAAAAATAAGCTTGCAAAGCAGTGTGGGCACATTCTTCCACATCTGGTGGGAGTGCCCAAAATGCGGGGAAGTTTTGAAGCACACAGCTGATAAGGAAATGAAGCTTATGCTGTTGTGCAATATTGACAGTGACTATCTGTTGTACCTGTGAAGAAAGTCACTATCTTGCTTGTTCTTGGTACCTCCGACAACTCGGCTGAGCAAGTGGCGTCTTCCATCTTCTCCCAGCCATGTGGACTAGATGGCAAAAAATGTGGGAGGTTATATCATACACTCATATATCAGATTAGGTAAAGGTAAAGGGACCCATGACCATTAGGTCCAGTTGTGGCCAACTCTGGGGTTGTGGTGCTCATCTCACTTTATTGGCCGAGGGAGCCGGCGTACAGCTTCCAGGTCACGTGGCCAGCATGACTAAGCCACTTCTAGCGAACCAGAGCAGCGCACAGAAACACCGTTTACCTTCCCTCCAGAGTGGTACCTATTTATCTACTAGCACTTTGATGTGCTTTCGAACTGCTAGGTTGGCAGGAGCAGGGACCGAGCAACGGGAGCTCACCCCATCGCGGGGATTTGAACTGCCGACCTTCTGATCGGCAAGTCCTAGGCTCTGTGGTTTAACCCACAGCGCCACCCACATCCCTCATATATCAGATTAGGGAGGCCAAAACACCAAAGACTTGGCAATTCTTTTATGACACACGATTCCTGAAGAAAAAGGCGATACATCAGCACAAGTCTTTATTGGTACATCAAGTTTATGCAATTCCTCAAAAAGGGAGGAAGCTGAATGGAGTGGGTTTGAGAGAGGGTAAGTAAGAGAGGTTAATACTTCATTGATTTGTGAAATTTCTCCACTCACAGCTACCTCTGATTTATTGCATGCCAAAGTAACTTTCACTTCGTCAATTTGTGCATAATAATAATAATAATAATAATAATAATAATAATAATTTATTTATACCCTGCCCATGTGGCCAGGCCTCCCCAGCCACTCTGGGCGGCTCCCAACAGAATATTAAAAACACAATAAAACATCAAATATTAAAAACTTCCTTAAACAGGATTGCCTTCAGATGTCTTCTAAAAGTCAAATAGTTGTTTATTTCCTTGACATCTGACAGGAGGGCATTCCACAGGGCGGGCGCCACTACCGAGAAGGCCCTCTGCCTGGTTCCCTGTAACTTGGCTTCCTGCAGTGAGGGAACCACCAGAAGGCCCTCGGAGCTGGACCTCAGTGTCCAGGCTGAACGATGGGGGTGGAGATGCTGCTTCAGGTATACTGGGTAGGCTGTTTAGGGCTTTAAAGGTCAGCCATATCAGGCTGAAGAGGAGAGCCAGTGAAAAATTGTTTCAACCTGAGATATATAGTAGTTAGACTCAATTAATTGGGGATGGGGGTGGTCTTTCCTTGGCAGCCAGCAGTGTTCGCGCTGGAAAGGAGCTTATTTTATGCGCTTCACATCTCATGTTTTCAGTAAGCATCTGAAAGGGTTGCTATCGCGTTGCATCTCGCTAATAATATTTCTATTGCAAGTAAAGAGCAATTCTGAGCCATTACCAAATATGAGGAAAGCTGCACTCCAATCTAGCGCCAGGCATAGCAGCAACATCTTAACAGAATAATATCACTCTCCAAAGCCAAACTATTCCAGTAAGGTAATTTGCTGTCATTTGCTGTCATAGAGTTTCAAATATGATTCTGAGGATGTCTTTACTTTCAGGCATTTTACGCTTATTTACTCTGAAGTATGCCCCACTGTCTTCAAAAAGGATCGCTTCCTAGGACATGCGTGGTGGACTGCAGTTAGTCACATTGTGATCAGCGGGGCTTACTTCCAAGTAAAGATACATAGGATGACACTCTCAATATATCACCAAGTCCGTTTTCAGAATCTACCAGGCTCATTCGTCCCAGTCCTCTTCGTCTTCATCGTCTCCTGTCGGAGTTAAGAATTCATATACAACCGCGCAAACTCCCAAGAGCCAGGCAAACACTGTACCAGCAGAGAAGATGCAGAACCCAACCAGACCCAGGAAAAGATAGTCTTGGTCATCAAAATGGATGAAGCATTTATAATTCAGTTGCTCCTGTGCCTCTTCCAGCAGCTTCAAGTCATGCACAAAAGCTGGGCTGTAGCAGGTGACGTTGTCAGAGTCTGCAGAGGAAACGCAAGAGGGACAAGAAGTCTCGACTTGTGCATTAAAAAATGTCAATTAAGGACATGTCTACAGGCCTGTGGCCTTGATCTTCTCCAGACCCAGTAAGACACCCTCCCCTTCAAACTCAGACCTAACTTGCTTTCATGTTTGTTCCAGTCAAGTAGTATATATATTTCAGGAAACAAAATAAATCAGCATTTTTGTTTGTTATCTTTCTGCTAAGCATCTAAAATGGCTTACCGCCCAGTAGACTGATTACTGGACCCATTCCCAGGGGCCAAATATTCTTGGAGGGGGAGGCAGAATTCTCCATCACTTTGGGGGGAAAGATTTCTGCAGCTGAGGTTTGATTTTTTTTTTTGTAATCCTTCCAAAATAATTGTCTTGGTGAATACTGAATGAAAAGCTATTATTAGTCCATGTTAGTGGGTGAACCCAAGGGTGATCTGGCTTTGAAAGGGGTCCCCAAACTAAGGCCCACGGGCCAGATAAGGCCCAAGGGACTTGTTTATCTGGCCCGTGGTGACCCCCGTCGCCCGCTGTCGCTGCCCGCTCTTACTGGCGCTGCGCTGCGCGGCTGCCCACTTCCGGGTCGGAGCAGCACTGGAAATAGCTTGTGCTCATGCACAAGCATTATTTCCTTCTCCCCTGGCAGCGGCAAGCCCGCCATTTTGTGGTTTGCCTCGGGTGCCAAAATGTCTTGGGCCAGCCCTGCAGATGGGTCACATTCACCTGGTTTTGGGCCTAGTAAAGTCCGGTAAAGTCCAGTCAAAGGCGACTATGGGGTTGCGGCACTTATCGCACTTTCAGGCCGAGGGAGCAGGCGTTTGTCCACAGACAGCTTTCTGGGTCATGTGGCCAGCAGGACTAAACCACTTCTGGTGCAACGGGACACCGTGACGGAAACCACAGCGCACGGAAACGCCGTTTACCTTCCTGCTGCAGCAGCAGTACCTATTTATCTACTTGCACTGGCGTGCTTTTGAACTGCTAGGTTGGCAGGAGCTGGGACAGAGCAACGGGAGCTCACTCCGTCACGGGGATTCAAACCTCTAGCCTTCTGATTGGCAAGCCCAAGAGGCTCAGTGGTTTAGACCACAGCGCCACCCGCATCCCCCATGTACCAAGGATGCTGTAGCATTGGGTTGGCTGGGAGTTGGGCTAGATGACGTAGCCCAACGCCATCTTTGTGACGGTGTGGTCCCTCTGTGCTTCCTTACACAGAACCTCATCTGCCCATTTTGCTACCCATCTCCTAGTTTGGAGAGATCTTTGGGGAGCCATTGGCAGGAGCTGGGACAGAATAATAGGAACTCACCCTGTCGCGGGGATTCGAACCGCCGACCTTCTGACTGGCAAGTCCAAGAGGCTTAGTGGTTTAGAGCACAGTGCCAGCTGTTTCCCAGCTTCCCCAAACGGTGTGGATGCCATTGGCAGAACTCATGCAGTGTTGGACCACCCAACTCTGGCACTAGAACCACCTAATTTTATTGGACAGGTTGCCTGCCCTGAGCTGGCTCTCATACTGTAGAAGACAGCGGTCAAGTGGAGCCACAAAGTTATCATGATGTGCCATCTTGTGCCACCAGCTGGCATGGAGCATGGTGTGTCTTATTTCATTTCCAGAAGGAAAGAGGAGCTCTCGTTGCCAGATAAGCTTGCAGCCAGCATTAAAGTTTAACCGCTGCTCTCAAACAAGGCGCAGAGGAATGCAAAGGGACGTGTCTGTTTCACACACAAACAGTGTTGCTCGCTATTTGAAACAGCCGTGGCAAGGCTATAAGGTGAGTTGTGTGACATAAGTGGGAAACAGAACTGCCTTCCCTGACACATAAGCAGCCTCCTTCTTTTCCCTTCCCTTCTCTGAGAGTTATGATGCAGGAATAGAAATAGTCTTCTGGGAGCCTAGCTTTGTCTCTGCTTGGAATATGGGAAGGGAGGGAAGGATTCAGAAAGGGAGTAGTGTATCGGAATTAATTGGAAAGGGCCTCCGCTTTGGTAAACGCGCGAGGGAAGGATTGAAACTCCGTATTAGCAGAAATTGAGTGATATTTGTAAAGAAAAAGATCAAAGGGATGTATACAAAGCAGAAATGATATTATACAATGTAAACCTGTGTAAAAAAGAATGTTATATCAAACAGTATGATGAGAAGAATGGGAAGAATTGTGCTGATGAGTACTTTTACTATGTAAATAACTCTGTCTCTTTTTTCTTTTTTAAAATTTGATTTCTTTGTTTCTGATCTTTGTTACTTCTTTATTTCTTTATAAATTTTCTATTTTATATAAGTTCTTTTTTTTTTACCTGTTAAGAGATAGTACATAATGTTTGTATAGACATGCAAACCTTTTAATCAATAAAAAATTGATAATAATAATAATAATAAAAGAAATATTGTAACGTAAAAAAAAAGAAACTTTGTGAATTGCATGGGTTCCCCCTCCCCCCCAAAAAACTACCATGATAATACAGCAAGCAGCGGCGTAGCGTGGGTTGTCGGCACCCGGGGCAAGGCAAGTAATTTGCACCCCCTAACCCGGGGGAAGGCAAGTAATTTGCGCCCCCTAACCTGCCGCTGCTGCCAGCTTCTTGCTGCTGCCTGGTCTGGTCTGGTGTGGTTCTCTCCTGCGCTCAGCGCTGCGCTGGGCGGCCACTGCACTGTCCCTCCCCCAGATAGTCCCTCGCTCTCTCTCTGCACCGCACGCCTGGCACCCACCCCCTCCACAGTGGGCGGCGACCCAGCGGCTTGGATCGGATTCGCACAGCCAGCACTGCAGTGAGAGAGAGTGAGTGAGCCAGGTAGGGACAGAGAGCTGCGAGTGCGAGCGCGCCCCCCCAGATGTTGCGCCCGGTGCAGCCGGCACCCCCTGCACCCCCCACGCTACGCCACTGACGGCAAGCCTTTTAGATGGTTCTTCAACAATAAGAAGCAACAACAGCTGAAAAGAATGGCATCAGCAAAACCGCACATAATAAAGCAAGAAACACTCAGCTTAGAATAGGAGAGAAGCTTGCACACAATATTTTGACTCTGGAATCACAAGAAATTCAGGATAAACAGCACCAGGGCTCTCTGTTGCCTTGATGGCTGATGAGGGGAGAACGGGGAGAGACGAAATATTTGTGTGTGTTTGCTAGACATTTTCAAAGAGCTCCCGTTAACTTCGACAAGAAAGTACCTTCCTGGTGCAATAGTTATACAGTGGTACCTCAGGTTAAGAACTTAATTTGTTCTGGAAGTCCGTTCTTAACCTGAAACTGTTCTTAATGTGAGGCACCACTTTAGCTAATGGGGCCTCCTGCTGCCTCCACGCCTCTGCTGTGCGATTTCTGTTCTCATCCTGAAGCAAAGTTCTTAACCCGAGGTACTATTTCTGGGTTAGCGGAGTCCGTAACCTGAAGCGTCTGTAACCTGAAGCGCCTGTAACCTGAGGTACCACTGTACTGCCACTTCATTGAAAAGTAAATTATTGCTTTCCCTCCTTGGCTTTGACTCTTTTGAGGCAGAGGAGCAAAGTAGTGGTACATACATGCCTTTGCTCTAAGCATAGGAATGCAGAGGACTTATTTTTAAAGGCCAAACGCCAGAGGGACATTCTTGTCCTGAGTCCACAGACTGCTCACCCTCTCAGCCCAGCAGCTGCGTAAGTGCCCTACAGCTCACCTGGAGATGGGACTCCATCCCCTAGATGCTCAGCATTTCCCACTCACCTGGGATAGTTATGCCACTCTCTTTTATGAAGCTGCACAGTTCCATGAAGGAGCAGTTGCAGAACCAGGGATTCCCGCTTAAGCCCAGGCTTCTCAGGTTGGGCAGGTCCCTGAGGGTAATTGCATCAATGAACGTCAAGCTACAGCGGCTCACATCCAGGTGCCTCAGCCAGGTATTGTTGGCAAAGGAGTCCTTCTCAATCTCCACCAGACCGGGGTTGTCGGAGAGCTTGAGCACAACCAGGCTGCCGAGCTGGGAAAAGGTCCCAAACGTGATCAAGGTGAGGTTGTTGAAACTGAGGTCCAAGTAGACAAGCCTGATGATGCTCACGAAGGTGAAGTCCAGGTCCTGCCCCAAAGCATTGCCACTGCAGTCTAGATAGATCAAGTCGCTGAGGAAGTTCAGCTCCACAGATGGCAAGTAGCTGAGCTGGTTTTGAGCCAGGATCAGCTGCCTGGTGTCCAGAGGGATGGTCGCCGGGAACTCTGCGAGCCTCTTCCCTGTGCAGTTCACGGCCAGATACTCGCAAGTGCACCCCTGGGGACACGACACACCTTCCGCCGTCCTGCCGATTCCTAGGAGCAGCACCACCCACCGCAAGCAGCACCCGGCTCCCTTTGCACCCCGATCTTCTCCACTCCATTCTGGGCGGGGAGCCATTTCTTCTCTGCACCGATCCTGTGGAGAGCTCAAGGTGCTCTGCTTTCTGCAAACTCTTCACTCGTCAACATCTCGGGCAAACTGCCAACTGAAGCACCTGGGGCAGAGAGCTCACTTTCTTGAATGTGCAAAACGGCCACTTGCTGTTCTGTATCGTGTTGACTGCCAGTTGACACCTTTATGTCATTCAAGGTTCATCCCTACACAGGTTTTGGGCATGCTTTGTGTGTATACACAAGAGAAAGTGTACGTCTTCTGCCATTGGCAGATGAAGATGATGGATTTTTCGGAGCTAGCCGACCTAGCCGGAAGAGTCCGTGACCAGAAGGAGGAGGAATATCAGGAAGAGTGGATTAAATTTAATGATTATTTACGTAGTTTAAGTTAAATTAAATTAAATTAAATTAAATTAAATGTTAAGTTAAATTAACTGAAAACAGCTTGCAGATACTTAATTGGCTTAGGATTTTATTTATGTTAAGTGATGAATTAATATGTTTAATTTCATAATGTGAAGATTTAAGGATGTTAATGTTTAAGTTAAATTTTATAAGAATTGTGATTTGGAAAACCGTTAAAAGGATATGCAATGAAATTCAACCAAGGGGAAGCAAGGAAGTCACTTAACAAAGTTAATAAGTGTAATTTTCAATAAGGCTATGATTTATGTTTGTTTGTCTTATGTGATTGTTTGTTTATAATATTGTGAAAACCAATAAAAAAAATTTGGAAAAAAAGAAAGAAAGTGTACGTCTTCTGTACCTGAGGCAGACTAGGGTGCCTGACAATCACCAAGAAAATTTTAGAGAGTCCAAGGCTGAGAAGGCATTCAGGGCTTGTGTGATGGAACTTAATTAAGACTTCTAAACCCCCCCCCCATCTTTTAGAGTGCATTACATAAATAAATACAACCCAGATGCATAGCTGTCAACTTTCCCCTTTTTAAAAGGGAAATTCCCTTATTCCGAATAGGATTCCTCGCAAGAAAAGGGAAAAGTTGACAGCTATGCCCAGGTGGTTAAGAAAGCCCAAGAGAGACTCCATCTCCTCAGAGTATTGTGGAAGAACGATGTCAATCAACATTTGATGATCTCCTTCTACCGGTCTACAATAGAAAGTGTCCTTTCATACTGCATCACGGTGTGGTACGCTGGTTTGACATCATCTGATAGGAAGCGCCTACAGAGGGTGGTGAATACAGCACAAGATATTATGGGCTGTCCCGTGAATCTGCTGGATGAAATAGCGGAAGAACGTTGCCTCAGGAGAGTGAGGAAAATTCTCAGGGATGATTCACACCCTGGCCAGCACTTTCTTGATCTCCTGCCCTCAGGCAGAAGATATAGAAGGATGATTAGTTGCACCAACAGGGTAAAGAACAGCTTCTGTCAGTGGGCTGTTAGGCTGCTGAATGAAAAGATAACAACAGGGCAACTGACTTTTGGGTTTGGTGGGTGTGCGTCAGTAAACGAGGGGAATTAAGACTAAGAGAGCTGAGTGGGGGGTGCTCGTGTAATCTCACTGTATACAAGTCGTACAAGTGACAACAAAGTATTTCAATTACTGTACGTTCTTCATTAAATTATCTTCCCATTGATATATAATTTTATGGTGTTACTGCCCCCCAAAGTGGTGTTGTGAGCCATCAAACCTCGGAAATACACTTTCCCCAAAAGGTTTCCACAATTTTGGCCACTAGTGCACGATGGAATGGTCTCAGTGGTGGGGAGCACATTTTTATTCTGATTATGACTTTGTCAAAATAAAATAATAATAATAAAACACACACACAAACACACACGGATTTACAACCTGTTTATATCTGCAAGAGCTCTTCTAAGCACCAAATAGGTAACTTTCAATCTTTCTCTATTTTGGGGAGTTTTCTTGTTGAATGAACAGGCTCCCACCCCTTTTCCATCGCTATTGTTAGTATGAGTACTCTCTCTCTCTCTCTTAGGACTTTATTGTTTAGTTTAGGAGTGTGAATGTAGCAGGTATTAGGGGAAAGGCCCTCGTGATTTGGTTTCATTGCTGCACCCCATTGATTAACAGAATCCTCCCCTCTCCCTCCCCTGTAAGGAACGCCATTTAAATTTGTGCTCTTGTCGTGGGTATGAATTTCTGACTTTGGAGCTCTTTTTGACATTTTTTTCCAGCATGGTGGGCAGCTGACCCACATAAAAGATTCCCTTCGTGCAAGCAGGTTTGAAGGTCATGTGTGGATATATAATGAATTAAAAAAGGTATTTAAGTATACCTTCCCTAAGAAACCAGAGGCCTTTCTCCTGGGCATAGTGGGCCAAATGGTGTTAAAAAAGGATAGAACTTTCTTTATGTATGCAACAACAGCAGCAAGAATACTCATCGCAAAATATTGGAAGACACAAGAACTTCCCACACTGGAGGAATGGCAGATGAAACTTATGGACTATATGGAACTGGCGGAAATGACTGGTAGAATCCGTGACCAGGGAGAAGAGTCGGTGGAGGAAGATTGGAAGAAATTCAAAGACTATCTTCAGAAACATTGTAAAATTAAAGAATGTTAGAGTGATGTTGGACTGAAAATAAGCGGTTTCCAGCTGTACAGGTTAAAGTTAATGATAGACTAAGATTAAGATTAGGATTAAAGATGTTTAAAGAAATGGAAATCTGACAATTAAGAGGGAAAATTTTAATGTTATATTATACTAAGATTAAAGATCAGGTTTAAAGAAATTGAAGATATATATTACAATATTATATTAAAGTTAAAGATTGGGATTAAAAAGTTGAAAAGAAATTGCTGGACAAACAATTTGGATTGGAATACAAAAAGAGGGAGGTATGAGGAAGTCCAGAAAATAAGCAAACTAAAAAAACGGAAATGGAAAAGAGATATTGTTTTTAATTGTTATGTTTTTTGTTTTTTATTGTTGAGTTGTGTTCTTTTTTGTGTGTTTTTGTTATCTTTTTTTCCTCTTTTTTTGAGATATGTATTGTGTATGTTTTTCTTTTCTTTCTTTGTTGTTCAAACTTAAATAAAAATTATTTACAAAAAAAAGAAAAGAAGGTCATGTGTGAAGCACACACAGGCTCCGGGAGACAAATGAAACATCTGACCCCAATCCTCTAAATCAATGGCCGCAGTTGTCCTTTGGTTGGGGGCCCTTTCAGAAATGTCCTCAGCTCTTACGGAGCAGGTGGGGCACCAAGTGTTGGCTATCACACTCGCCCCCCAGGAGCATCCTTCCCACTTGACTCCTTGGGGGCCGAGACTTGGACTTGCATCCTGGTGTGATGGCCTGGGACTCGGGCTCGGACTCAGAACCAGAGGAGTCTCAGTCCACACCGGATCCTTTGCCTCAGGCGACATGTGAACCAAGTCTGGGGCCTGATTCTGAAGAGCCCCAGTCTGCACAGGTTCCCCTGCAACAAGCACCAGCTGGGCTGAGTCAGGGGCCTGAGCCTGCCCTGGCTCCAGTTACGGGGATTACCTCGTTGCCTTCAGTTGGGCCATCACTTACAGCTGCTCCACTACCAGGTCAGGAGAGGCTGAGTCGGCTTCTGGGTCTAGTAACCCACCGACATCTCCCGAGCTGCAGAGACTGAGGTCTGAGAGAAGGAGAGACCCGAGTACTCGCAGGAGGAGTGCTCGCCTTTAGGCGAAACAGGGAGGTGAGTCACTGGGGGATCAGGACCGGCCGCTACCCTGACAAAGATAAAAGGCTGTCGGACCCTGCCCCAGGTTGCGGGAGCAACATTGCTGTTTGCTAGAACCTGCCTGAGACCCTGTGCCTGACCTTGCCTGGTTTCCTGCCTCGTGTCCTGCCTTGGCCCTGTCGGACTGACTCCTCGTGGAACCCTTGGATTCGGGACCGGACCTGGACCACGTTGCTTGGGTTATATAATAATAATAATTTATTATTTATACCCCGCCCATCGGGCTCAGTTTCCCCAGCCACTCTGGGCGGCTTCCAATCAAGTGTTAAAAACAATACAGCATTAAATATTAAAAACTTCCCTAAACAGGGCTGCCTTCAGATGTCATTTAAAGATAGGATAGTTGCTTATTTCCTTCACATCTGAAGGGAGGGCGTTCCACAGGGCGGGCGCCACTACTGAGAAGGCCCTCTGTCTGGTTCCTTGTAACCTCACTTCTCGCAATGAGGGAACCGCCAGAAGGCCCTTGGAGCTGGACCTCAGTGTCCGGGCTGAACAATGGGGGTGGAGACGCTCCTTCAGGTTAACCCCTGGGCCCAGCACACCTGGAAGCACCCAGTCTCCCATGTCCTCTACCCTGGCGCTGACACCTGGCAGAGTCAGGCCCCGTTCTATACTGCAAGGTTATACTTGTGCACACACAGGAGGGGCAAAGTGAGACCATCCTCAGAAGGTGGGGAAACACCAGCAAATGGATTTTGCAGTGAAACAGAAGGGCTACAAGCCATTGACACTTCTCAGAGCTCCAAAACAGCAGGTCTAAATCATTCTGTATTCCTCCTCGTCCAATTCCTCGTCCACCTTCATTACGGGGTGATAATAGATCACTGTGGCTAGCCCAACCAGCCAGGCCACCAAAGTTCCTCCAAAAAAGATGCAGATGGCCATCAGACCCAAGAAGACGAAATCTTGGAAGTCTAAATGCACAAGGCAGAGGTAGTGGAGCTTCGTTTCGGCCACATTGAGTGTCAGACCCTTGAGAAGTTCTGGTTTGTTGCAAGTCATTTCCTCAGAGTCTGGGGGAGGGGGAAAAACAAACAGATTTAAGAGGAGTTACAGTCAGCATTTTAATTTGTTAATTGGTAGATCTATAATAGGAATGTGCCTTAACAGACCAAGGACAAGCAAAAAACGAGTGAAGAACCCTGGAGAGATCATGAAAGGGAGGAAACTTCTCTGGCTCACAGAAGTACAGGGCATCTTCAGTTGGGTCAGACATTCATGCTCTAGAGCAGACCTATTCCACCACCACCAGTATATTATGAACAATCTCCACCTTCTCTCACCTTCCTCCACATAAGCTAGATTTAAAGTTTAATATAAAGTGGTACCCTGGATCTCAAATGTCTTGGTACTCAAACAACTTGGAACCCAAACACTGCAAACCCGGAAGTAAGTGTTCCGGTATGAGAACTTTTTTCAGAAGCTGAACGTGCTCCATTTTGAGTGTTACGCTTCCAATTTAAGTGCCACACTTCCGTTTTGAGTGTTACTCTGAGGTCTGTCTGTTTTTGCTATTTATTTTGCGTTTTTGCTTTTGTGGCTCTTTTTTGTGTGTGACTGTGTGGAACCCAGTTCAGCTACTGATTGATTGTGTGACTGCAGTACATTGTTTATTGTTTTCATTTTATGGATCAATGGTCTCATTAGATAGTAAAATTCCTGTTAAATTGCTGTTTTAGGGGTTGTTTTTAAAAGTCTGGAACGGATTAATCCATTTTGCATTACTTTCTATGGGAAAACGTGCCTTGGTTTTGGAATGCTTTGGTTTTGGAACGGACTTCCAGAACGGTTTAAGTTTGAGAACCAAGGTACCACTGTATTCTTCGTCTTCTTCATCATCTTCATCAGCATATCATCATCGTTACTAACCTACCCTTCACCCTAAGGTCCCAAGATGAGTTACAACATTAAAACACAATACTTAAAAATCTACACTTCAAGTGTCAAAAGGGGGCGGTGAAGGAAATAGAGCAATATTTGCAGCAAGGATGTTACTTGCCCAAAAATGGAAAGAAGTAGTCCCAGCAAAGGAAGAAGGATACAAAAACTTATGAAACTGCAGAAAGAGGGGGAAGGAATTCAAGTTTTAAAATGTCAAAAAGATTGTAAAATCAGTGAAATGTATAATGCGGTTCCTTAAATTTATTTTGAATATTTTCTGTATATCCAAAATAATTTAATTTGCTCATTTATTCATCTGCTTTAAATATATACTCTTATGAAATGGCAGGTTATTACAATAATCCTGCCAATATTCCTATCTGTTTACAATTTATTTGTAAATATTCAATAAGCCATTTCCATTCTTTTATAAAAAGTTTGTTATCTTGATTTCTTATTCTTCCAGTAAATTTTGCCATTTCTGCATATTCCATAAGGTTTTGCATCCATTCTTCCTTTGCTGGGACTTCTGCTTCATTCCATTTTGGGGAGAAAAACTTTCTTGCCGCTGTAGTAGCATACATTAATAAATTTCTGTACAGTTTAAGTAGTTCTGTCCCTATAATTCCCGAAAGAAAAGCTTCCGGGTTGTTGTGTTTTTTTTACAAGCGTTATTTTAAACATGTTTTTCAATTCATTATATATCATTTCCTGGTAAGCTTTAGCCTTCCTACAAGACCACCCCATATGACAAAAAGAACCTTCTTTCTCTTTACATTTCCAACACTTATTTGATTTAGATTTATACACTTTGGCCAATTTACTCGGTGTTGGATACCATCGATATATCATTTTCATATCATTTTTCTCTTAGATTATAACATGCTGTAAATTTTGTATCCCTATTCCACAATCGTTCCCATGCTTCCGTGTCTATATTATGAACAATATCTATTGTCCAATGTATCATTGAGGATTTTACTAGCTCATCCTTTGTCTCCCGTTTCCCCATGCTTCCTCTTCCCATAGCTGTCAACTTACATATTTGAGACTTCCGGGGTGGCGCCTCCGGAAAATGGCGGAATTCCCTTCAAGTTGAAGGGAACCCGCTGCACGGAAGCTTGGGTCCTACCGCTACGGCGCAGCGGGGACCCTTAAAACCCACAGGCGGATGAAGCCTGTGGACGTGGGACTCAGCGGGCACCGTGAGCGCTCTCCCCTTGTACAGGAGCCCGGTAACGGGCTCCGGAGTGGGAGGTGCGTGGTGCTGTGAGTCGACTGCTTCTTTCGTGCAGCAAAGCCGCACTGCCGTTTCCGAAGAGCGCTGCCTTTTTCCTGGGACAATTTGGCATCTAAAACATCTATCCGTGAGTACCTGATCTTGGAAGAGCTGAATTACTTTTAAGACTGGTGAATAAATAAATAAATTGGACTTGAAATTGAATTTAATTGGGACTTGGAATGAGAAGGTCTAAGCAGGAAGTCAACCTTCCGTTCTTTTGTTACGTGAAGAAAGCAAAGACAAAATATACTAAAGCTTGAAAATTAAATTCTGAGAGAACTAGAATTCAACACCTAAGATTTCTGAACCCCTTTGACTGCAGGAGAAGAAGGGGTTGTTTTGGACTTTATAACCCTGCGGAAGTGAGTTTAAAACAAAGTAATTTTCCACCGCCCTGAACCAGGAGCGGGCTGTCAGAACTGACGTCTTGAAGCTTGTCCAGCTCGACAGATAGTTAAAAGAAAGGTAACATTGTGACTCTACTGTTGCCTCTTGAATTTTGAAGGGGAACTTTGGATAAAGTGTATCTGGAAAAGAAAGACTGTTGCTGATGATTTTCTCCGTTATAAAAAAAAGGAAAAAAAAAAGGTTTTCCTCTAGTGGGATTTAGTGAAACTGCAACGCAGAGAGCTTAAAAGTGAAGGACTATAATCGTGGGAAAGAATTTTCTTTGACCCTGAAGGACAATGCTTGTACAAAGGCTTGAACAAATGTTCCTGGAAGGTTTTTCAAAACTAAGTGCCCAGCTGGACCAGATGCGTCAGGAGACGACCTTGATGACGGAAGTTACCAGAGCACAGCAGCAAGTAAATGGAACTCAGTTAAAATATCTACAAGTATATGAACCTGCTGTAGTGATGGAGGCTTCAGAGATGGAGGGACCTTTGGACCGGCAGGATCAGCCTTTGAACTTGATAAATGAACTTGGGATAAATCAGATTCGGAAAGATGAAATGTGGTTAGATTTGGAAATGGGGGATGGATTGACCTCCTTTATATGGTTATCTGGACTTTCCGAGTCTGGTGATGGGCCATCAGAGGATTGGAGTAGTCGGAGCCTCCAAGTTTCAAGGAAACTTGAAGTGGTATTATCTGCTGTCTGGCTTGGACAATGGGCATGGGATGGACTTGTTGCAAAGGGTCAAAAGTATCTTTCTGCTGGAGTACCCACGACTGAAAGGGAAACATCAAGAAGAGCTGCGAAAGGGGCAAGAAAGAGATTTGAGGGCCTCGGACACGAGACAACCAGGTTAAGGAGCCGGACTATGGAGGTTAAAAGGACTGACAATCCCGGGTCCAGGGGAGGGGGCGCTGGAAGTTGACTGGATTGTGTCTGACTTATTATTTTATTTTATTTTTCTATTTTTCAATATTGGGAACGTTCATAAATGTTTGAAAGATGTTGAATGAAACTATATGGCTTAAGTAAGGATTGGTAAATGATTTGCAAAAAGGTAATGATGTAAGAATTTGGTAAATACTGAATATAAGCTTTGAGTTTTAAAGTTTTTATATGACAAGAGGGAAAATAGAATAAGGAAATGTAATGATAGAATGTTATGAAAAAACAGAAAGGATTTGCTGTAAAAATTAAAAATTAAGAAACAAGAGAGGGGGGAGGAGGAAGTCTAGAAAGGAAGTTAATAGAGATCGTAAATGATTTTATACTTTTGTTTTTCTTTTTTTCTTTTTTTATGGTTGGTTTTTTTCTTTTTTATTTCTTTATCGTTTTTGCTTTTTGTATTTTCAATTTTTTTGGAAATTTTTGTTGTTATTCTTTGAAAACTTAATAAATATTAATTATAAAAAAACTTACATATTTGAAAATAAGGGACCAGCAACCTCGAAAATAAGGGATCAGTAGCCAAAATAAGGGATTTTAGTCAACCAGCAGCCAAACGAAGCCTCAAGCGGTGGTTCCCACAGCGCAGGCCCCCCAGCAAAGGGGATGCAGCAAGGAAAACCACCGTCACCTCTCCGCTGGGAAGTGCTGAGCAAGGGCCGCAGGCAACACGGCCAATTTGATCAGCACAAGGCATGCAAGCTCCACCCCCCAGTCGTTCTTAGACTCCTTATTGGGTGAGCAACGCAACCAAGCAACACAGTTGGAGCCTCCCTCCTCCCTGGTTGGCAGGGAGGGAGGGAGGGAGAGGAGCTGCTTCCTTTGAAACCCGGGAAATTTAAGGGACATCATCAATAAGGGACAGCAGCGGGACACAGCGCTGGGATAAGGGACTGTCCCGCCAAATAAGGGACGCTTGACAGCTATGCCTCTTCCTCCTTGGTACTGCTTCTCAGGGTGCTTTGTCCCGCGTCCTCGGTGGGCTATCCCCGAGTGCCTGCGGACAGGAGAAGGCACCCCACAGAATTCACACCTGGGAAGAGGTCTCACCTGGATACACAACATCAGCTTTCTTCATCCAGTTGCAAAACTCCAAGAAACTGCAGTCACAATTCCAGGGGTTCCCCTTCAGTCTCAAACTACGAAGGTTGTGCAGATCTTTGAATAATTCGCCACCAACGTACGTCAAGCCACAGTCGCTCATATCCACAAATCGCAGAAGGGGGTTGCTGTCAAAGGCTTTGTCCTTCACTTCCACCAACTTTGGGTTGCTTGAGAGATTCAGCAGCAGCAGCTTGTTGAGCTGCGAGAAAGTGTAAGGCGTTACAAAGGAGAGCTTATTGAAACTGAGGTCTAGGTACGTCAACTTGACTATACCAGGAAAGGTGAAATCCAAGCCCATTTCTAACAGGTTGTGGCTGCAGTCCAGATAGACCAGTTCGTTCAGATAGCTCATCTCTAATACTGGCAACGTGACGAGTTTGTTGTCGGACAGAATCAACTCCCTGGTGGTCAGCGGAATTGAGCCCGGAACTTTGTCTAAAGCCTTCATGCTGCAATTCACTGCCTTTTGTTCACAGCTGCACTTTGACGGACAGCTAAGGCCCTTTCCTGTCCATTTGATTACAATGAGAACGGCTATCCACAAGGGTGTGGAAGTACGGAAAGAGGGCGGAATAAGATAGCCCATCCTATACACCTTAAACGGAAGAAGAAGGGTTTCCCTTCAGCACTAAAGGAGAAGTGTTTCCTGCTGCTGGACCAGCTCCCATGTCATCCCAGTTGGTACCAGTTGCCTTTATGACATCACCAGTTTGGCCCACAAATCTGGAGTGATGATGTATCAAGGAGTTACTGCCTAGGTCATATATTCTGGGGTTTTTTTTAATTAAAAAAATGCATTTTCAAAAACAGGAACAAAGAGCATATTTAACCCCCTCCCCTCCCTCTGTCCCACTTACAACTTCATACCAAATACAGCCTGTATACATATACCATATGACTTCCCTTCCATCCGTCGTTTCCTGGTTCCTTTTGCTTTTCTACTGCTCCACGTAATCCACATCTTTTTATTCAACCAGTTTGTTATCTATTAAAAACTCTATCTGCTAGATTCAGGTAGGTAGCTGTGTTGGTCTGACGCAGTCGAAATATATTAAAAAATTTAAAAAATTGTTCAGTAGCACCTTAGAGACCAACTAAGTTTGTTCTGGGTATGTGCTGGTCCTCGGGGCTAACCGTGTGGCAAGGTCCAAGTCCAGTCCGAGGTCGAGGGTACAGTATGGAGGCTGTCCATCAAAGCTGTAGCTGGGTCCAAGGCGGGGAGTCAGGTGGGGTCAGGAACTCTGGCAGAAGAGCAGGACAGGGTGCAGGCAGGAACCGGCTACCAACAACATTGCTCCCGCAACCTGGGACTGGGGCTGGCTGGCTTTTATCTGCCCTGAGGCATAGGGTGGCCCCGGTCCACAGGTGACTTGCCTCTCCTGGCCTGGAGGTGAGCACTCCTCCTGCAGGAACTTAGTTCCCTCCACCTCTCTCCCCTGAGCCTCTGCAGCTCAGGAGAGGCTGGAGGGTTACCGGACCCAGAGGCAACCTCAGCTTCCCCTGACGGGGCTGAGAGTGGAGCACCTGCAGGCAATGGGTCCTCCATCACCTCAGGAGCCAGAGCAGGCTCAGCTGATGCCTGCACCTGAGGATCCAGCACAGGTGAGGACCCTTCAGGCTCAGACCCCAGCCCCGGCTCAGCTGGTTCTGGAGGCGGGGACTCCTGTGCAGGCTGGGATTCCTCAGGTTCAGCCTTTGAGTCCGAATCCCAGGCCATCACAGTAGCACCTTAGAGACCAACTAAGTTTGTTTTGGGTATATAAACTTTCATGTGCATGCACACTTCTTTCTCAGGAGTGTAGTAGGAGATGGGTGATTGACTCAATGGGTATGGTAAAACCTGTTGATGACTGTTAACGACTCCAGTTTATTACTAAACTGAAAACTATGGAGATACCTGGTCTTAATAGAGATATTGGATTCCTGCCTTATTACACATACTGATCATCTGCATACTATCCCTTGCTCTTTCCTATAGGAATAATTGCAGTCATTAACAGCCGTCAACAGGTTTACCATACCGATTGAGTCAATCATCCATTTCCTACTACCCTTCTGAGAAATACCCCACCCCACCCTCCCACTATATATAAGGGTCTGGTGTCTTCCATTTCAGTGTATGCACTGTATTTCAGTGCATGCACACGAAAGCTTATATACCCAGAACAAACTTAGTTGGTCTCTAAGGTGCTACTGGACATTATATATATTCTATCTGCTGGCTTTACTCGAGACCTGCTAAGCTATGTACAGTGGCACCTCGAGTTAAGAACTTAATTTGTTCTGGAGGTCCGTTCTTAACCTGAAACTGTTCTTAACCTGAGATACCACTTTAGCTAATTGGGCCTCCTGCTGCCACTGTGCTGCGGCGGCGCAATTTCTGTTCTCATCCTGAAGCAAAGTTCTTAACCTGAGGTACTATTTCTGGGTTAGGGGAGTCTGTAACCTGAAGCGTCTGTAACCTGAAGCGTCTATAACCTGAAGCGTCTATAACCTGAGGTACCACTGTATTTGTCTATACTGGTTCTTAAAGTATTCAATAAACATTATTCATTCCTCCTTATATTCCTCATCTTCATTTTCTCTTATCCTATTCGCCAGACCAGCTGGTTCAGCGTATTTGAACATTTTATGCTGACATTCTTCCGTGGTGGGTACTAGACTTGTTCTTCACCTTTGTGTCAATAAGGCTCTAGGCTATGGGTAAAACTGATTTTATTTCCATTTGGACATGTCTACACCATAAGCCAATATTGGTCTTATGCACGTTTCCCAGCAAGGCTTCCCACCAAATATCCCAGGAATTCTAACTGGGGTGGGGGGGGGCATGAGGCGTACCTTCTGAGTGCCAGTTCCCAAAGTTCCCTGGGGAGAGGGAAGGACAATAAAACTATTTTAAGTCTGTGCTATAGATTTGCCCTTGGAAGGGTAAAGGGGTAAAAGAGTATTGGGAAATGATCTACTATGAATTGAAAAAAATGTTTAAAATACTCCCCCCCCCAAAAAAAAACCTCCAGAGTCCTTTCTGTTGGGGATAATTCAGACTGAAGTTCCCAGGTGTCAAAAAAGGTTATTTATGTATGCCACTACTGCGGCCCGTGTTTTGTTAGCCCCAAAATGGAAAACGAGCGAGGTCCCAACTAAAGAAGTTTGGCAACTTAAGTTGACAGACTATGCACAGCTTGCAGACTTAACATATGGAATAAGAGAAGAACATACGTTTAGAGAAGATTGGAAAATGTTTATTGAATATATGGGAAATAATTGTGAACAGCTGAAAACGCTGGCAGCATTGAGATAAATTCAACAGTTCTGATGGATGTAATGATGGAATGACACCATCTTAAAAAGCAGAGACATCACCTTGCCAACAAAGGTCCGTATAGTTAAAGCTATGGTTTTCCCAGTAGCGATGTATGGAAGTGAGAGCTGGACCATAAAGAAGGCTGATCGCCGAAGAATGGATGCTTTTGAATTATGGTGCTGGAGGAGACTCTTGAGAGTCCCATGGACTGCAAGAAGATCAAACCTATCCATTCTTAAGGAAATCAGCCCTGAGTGCTCACTGGAAGGACAGATCCTGAAGCTGAGGCTCCAATACTTTGGCCACCTCATGAGAAGAGAAGACTCTCTGGAAAAGACCCTGATGTTGGGAAAGATGGAGGGCACAAGGAGAAGGGGACGACAGAGGACGAGATGGTTGGACAGTGTTCTCAAAGCTACCAGCATGAGTTTGACCAAACTGCGGGAGGCAGTGGAAGACAGGAGTGCATGGCGTGCTCTGGTCCATGGGGTCACGAAGAGTCGGACACAACTAAACAACAACAACAACGATGGAATACTGAATGGGTATAGTTACTATAAAATATGCAGGGATTTATGATATGTAAAATGAACCATGGAAAGAGAAGGGAAGTGACTGATATCTTAAGGATGCAAAATGGCTTCTCCCTGCCCTGCCTAGAGGAGGAAGGGGGCTGGGCTGAGCTGGCTGAGCGCCATTTTAAGCAGGGGCTGGCACTGAGGGGTGGGAGTACTACTTGCCCCCTTCGCCTCTTCTTCAAGCTCTGCCCCCCAGTGCCGCTACCCTGGCCCACCACAAGGTTTGAGGGACAGTGGACCGGCCCGCGGCTAAAAGAACTTGTTGGAGTTTAGCCTGCCCTTTGGGTGGGGTGGGGGCCTGCAGTGGCCCTTGGCCCAGTAGGTTCTTTGGCAAAACGAGTACATTTAGCCTAGCAACCATTGTTAGGAAGGAAACAGCTTTGAAAAGGTAAAGGGACCCCTGACCATTAGATCCCGTTGTGGCCGACTCTGGAGTTGTGGCGCTCACCTCGCTTTATTGGCCGAGGGAGCCGGCGTACAGCTTCCGGATCATGTGGCCAGCATGACTAAGCCGCTTCTGGCAAACCAGAGCAGCGCACGGAAACACAGTTATCTTCCCGACAGAGTGGTACCTATTTCTCTACTTGCACATTGACGTGCTTTCGAACTGCTATGTTGGCAGGAGCAGGGACCGAGCAACGGGAGCTCACCCCGTTGCGGGGATTCGAACCGCCAACCTTCTGAGTGGCAAGTCCTAGGCTCTGTGGTTTAACCCACAGCGCCACCCGCGTCCCAGTAGGTTGTTTGGCAAAACGAGTACGTTTAGCCTAGCAACCGTTGTTAGGGAGGAAACAACTTTAAGTAACTGCTATTGGAGAAGAGCCCTCTGTCACTTCATTGTGACATGTGGCTGACAAAAGAGATGCTGCCGACACAGGTGCGGGAAGGAGCCCTCCCCTCCCGGTCCCTAGGCACCAGGTAAGAAGTCCCAATGCCTCTCTCTGGCAGCTGTGAGACAGTGTCCCAATAAACGCTCAGCAGGAATGACGAGTGAGGACAAGAAGCAGTTTGAGATCTCGAACCTCGGCAAAGTAGCCGCTCATGTCCCCGACCTCATAGTTTATGGTGATTTCTCCCAGGAAGTGCCTTTCATTGAGAGCTTTGATGGCGTGTTGCTCTTTGTGGACATTTCAGGTAGGCAAAGGGAGATCGGCGTTGGGAGGGAGGGATGGGAGCAGATTTCGGAGGCACCTCAAAGAAAGAAAGGAAGAGAGTTGAGGGACTTCAAATTGTTGTCCTGATGGGTAAAGGATGCGCAAGTCCCTCCATACTGAAAATAAACCCAGCTTCTCAGGTGTTCATATTGCTTCATGCCACCCCAAACTCCTCAGCAGGGTGAGAATCCAGGGGTCCCAGTGCAGAGTTTGGAAATGCAGCAAAGCGGAGACTGTGGTGTCTTTATGACATATGGGTTATTTACACAGATATACAACCTAAGCCTGATGGGGAGGAGTTCAAAGCGTTGCGCCCCGAGAGGGTCTCTCGCTTCTCTCATAGGCTTGTATCCAAAACAGAAGCCAGCCATGCATAAAAGCAGTCAGCCCCCAATAATAAAATATTGGGGGGTGGGGGGAAGGGAAGAAAAGAAACCATCTCCCAAAGTGATGTGAAACCTTCCGCCTGCCTTTCCCACTTCCATTCTCTTGGCTGTAACTCAAGCTGTGTTTCACTAATAGCAAGTGCTTACATATCTTAAAGGTTTCACGGCACTGACCGAAAAGTTCAGCATGACCACCAACCTCGACCGCGGTGCTGATGAGCTAACGCTGGCCCTTAATAACTATGTGGGAGACATCGTGGAAGGTA